CCTCCCTTCTGCCAGTCCTCTCCCCTGCTAACTTAATGTCTTCTCTTCCTACTACCCTGTCGGGTAAGATAGATTTCTATATTCAATTGATTGTGTATATTATTCCCTTTTTGAGCCAATACTGATGAGAATAAGGTTCAAGTGATGTCCATCGCCCACCCTCCCATCTTCTCTTCCACTGGTGATAGGTCTTTCATGCCTCTTCATGTGAAATAATTTACTCCATTCTACCTGTCCCTTCTGTACCCAGTGTACTCCTCTTTCTCATCCCTTTATTATTTTTTATGTCATTCCCTCAAATTTACTTTATATCCATACCCTCTATGTATTTTTTTTTTCCTTCTAGCAGTACTATTAGTGAAACAATTTATAAGAATTACAAGTATCGTCTTCCTATTTAGGGATGTAAACAATTTAGCTCTATTCAATTCCTTATATTTTCTTTTCCCTTTTTCCCTTGGGTCTTGATATTGGAGATCTGATTTTGGTTTGATTCTGGTCCTCTCCTTATGAAAACTTGAACTCCTTCTATTTCACTGATTGGCCATTTTCCCCTTACATATATTATGCTTAATTTAGACAGGTAAGTGATTTTTGGTTGTAGTCCTAGCTCCTTTGCCCAATTGTCATGTTCCTTGACCTCTGGTTGTTTAATGATGCAGCTGCTAAGTCTTGTGTAATCCTGATTGTGGCTCCCTGATGTTTCAGTTGTTTCTTTCTGGCCACTTGCAGTATTTTTTCCTTGACCTGATAGTTCTGAAATTTGGCTATAATGTTCTTGGAGTTTTTATATTGAGATCTCTTTCCTGAAGTGATCAGTGGATTCTTTCAATGACTATTTTGCCCTTTGTTTCTAGGATATCAGGGCAGTTTTCTTTGATAATTTCTTGAAAGATGCTGTCCAAGTCCTCCTTTTGATTATGGCTTTCAAGTAGTCCAGTTATTCTGACATTGTCTCTCCTGGATCTATTTTCCAGGTCATTTGTTTTTCCCATGAGATATTTTACATTTTTTTCTGTTTTTTCTTTCTTTTGAATTTGTCTAATTGATTCTTGATGTGTCATAGAATTATTAGCTTCCACTTGCCCAATTCTAACTTTAAAGTAGTTGTTTTCCTCAATTAGCTTTTGTACTTTTTTTTCTGTTTGGCCAATTATACTTTTTTTTGTTTTTGTTTTTAGTGAGGCAGTTGAGGTTAAGTGACTTGCCCAGGGTTATACAGCTAGTGAGTATTATGTATCTGAGGCTGGATTTGAGCACAGGTCATCCTGACTCCAGGGCTGGTGCTCTATCCACTGCGCCACCTAGCTGCCCCAGATTAATCTAGTTCTTAAAGGAGCACATTGAAGTAAAATTTCCCTTTTTGTTTATACTCTACACATTAGTCATTCTGTTTTTTACTGTTCTTTCTTGTGTGTGCTGTCCCATCTCCTGCTTCAGTGGATTTTCAGTGTCTGTCTTTTATGCTTGGAATGCTTTCTTTCTTCAATTCCATCTCTTGGAACCCTAGCTTATTTTAAGACTCAACAAAAATGCCTTCACTTGATGCTCCCTGAGTTGTTATTTTTAATCTCTGTTCCCAGAGCCCATTAATTTTTTTATTCATTCATATTGTATCTCTCCAGTAAGTTTCTTGATATCAAGGACTATTTATTTTTGTCCTTATATTCCTAGCACTTAGCACAGTAGATATTTAATAGATGGTTGTTGAATTGAATCAACACAAATGATTTTGATAAAATCTTACTGATCTGCATATAGATTGTTCTCCTTAAAATAGATTTCTTTGAAAGGAAAAAATATACATGGCTTTTAAAAAACACCGTTTATAGGTTATGCTCAAATGGTCTCTATTTCCAGCTCTCTTTTTTCCAAGCTTTACACATTCTGGATGTTTGCTGGATGTTTTTGCTTAAGTGCCCTGGCAACATCTCAAACTCGGTTTGTTCAAAGTAGAAGTTATCTTTTTTCTCAAATTCTCTCCTCACCTCCCTTTTTCTGTTAGTGATACCGTTCATTCAGCCATCTGTGTTTGAAAGCTGTGTTCTCTTTAATTCTTTATCTTCCTTTACAAACTTTCACATCCAATCATTACCAAGTCCTGTGGATTCTCATTCAGCATCTTTCAAACTCATTCCCATTTCTACCAACCTAGTTTAGGTCCCCATTTTAGCAACCATTAGTTTAATGACTAATTCCACAATCTCTTTAATATCCCTCCTTCTTACCTTGGCCAGATTAATATTAAAATCCCTTCCAGATCTGATCATGCCATTCCTTTGGTCAGAATACTTCCTTGGATGCCTATTTTCTCCCAAACAGAACTCACACTTAGGTTGGCACTCAAGGCACAATACTTCCTTGCCTTTTTTCAACATTTCATACTGCATTTCCCTTTCATATTGTACGTAAATAGACTAAGTTCCATCCCTTGAACCCATGTAAGAGTTTTCCTTTCTCTATAATTTTAATACTGTTCCTAGCTCTGCTTTTTCAAAGTCCTGTGCATCCTACCTGATTCAGCTTTAATTTTACTTCTTTGATTCTACCTTCAGCATCATATACCCCACTAACCTTTTTTCCCCTTAACCTTTGCATTATATACTCTACCCCTCTTACATTCTTTTTAAAATTTAATTTTTTTGCTTTTTGGTGAGACAGTTGGGGTTAAGTGACTTGCCCAGGGTCACACAGCTAGTAAGTGTTATGTGGATTTGAACTCAAGTCCTGACTCCAGGGCTGGTACTCTATCCACTGTACCACCTAGCTGATCCCCCCCCCAATCTTCTTAATCTTTTCTGGACAAAAGTTATTCTTTATTGATATTTGTATATCATTTACCTGAGTGTAAGTTCTGCTAGGGTAGAGATACTGTCTTTATGTTTTTCTATGTTCCTCTGTACTTAACACAATGTATTGTGCATAATTAGGTGCTTTGTACATGTTTGTTGAATGGAGATATATTTATTGGAATAGTAGACAAGTGTAATAAAATCATGTAAGGAGCCTTTTCACAGAAAAATGTTTTAACAGAGCAATGACTAGTAGAAATAGGTGTATTATTTTATATGTAATCAATCTTATATGCAAATTGGAAAAAATATGGACTAGCTGAATATAGAGCTCACTGAATTCTTAGCCATTGATCATTTGTACTTAGATATTATTGGTTGTATGATACCCAGAGAAAGTTAATAATTTCATTATACTTTGTGTTGGTCTGACCATTTGCATAGTATTCAATTTTTGATGTGTTTCAAGAAGGAAGTTTGCCAGTGAACAAATTGGAGTACATCCAGAGGAAAATAAGCAAATAGCCATCATGTTTAGATTACATTTCTTGTGAGGCATAGCTGAAGGAATGGGGGTATTTAGACTGAATATGAGAAATGTCGGTGGTGGTGAGTTGGGAGAGACATTATAACTGCCCTCAGATAATCTGTAGTCTGTCTTCAGAGACAGACTTCTTTCTGTCATGTATCTCTTCTGACTTTTTGCTCAATTCCTCTTAATATGAGTATAACAATTCTATTTCAGTTTTTTATTTTAAAATCTATACTTGCAAAGATAGATATCCCACTAATATCTCAAAACCAAGCTTATCTTTCCTCTTTAACTTGCTTCGCCTCTTGACTTAATTCTTTTGGTGACATCAACCTTTTCTTAGTCTCCATCATTTGAAACATTGAGGCTCTTTTTTATCTTATCTGTCTTCCTCATCTCTTATTCAGTGATGAAGTCCCATAGATTTTAGGTCTTTTGACATCTTTTATGTGTCTCTCCTTTTTTGTTCTAGTTGCCTCCCTATTACAGGCTACCATTAGATTGCCTTTTTAGCACAGTGCCTGGCATGTAATAGACACTTAATAAATGTTTATTGAGTTATTGACTTAGGGCTGACATAAAGTTGTCCAAGGATTCCTTGATAGGTTCTGCTACCAATCATACTTAGTAATATGCAGATAACCTTTTAATAACCAGTTTATTATATGGTTGGAGCATGGTTCTGTGGTACATGAAAAATCAGTGGGCTCCAACCAACATTTTCACCAAACTTTTATAGTTTTTAGTTACAGCAGCAGGATGGATACCATGGCATTTTACAAAGGGTGGAAGGGGAAAGTAAAGATTTATATATCAAATTGATCAGCAAACTTAGGGGAATTTATATACTAGCCCGTAACTCTAGAGCTGTCGCTAATGACAGGAAATGCTCATCATAAATGAATAGAGGTAATAAAGGTGAGCCCCAAATTCACCTGTTGTTGTGCTTCAGTCATATCTGATCCTTTATGACCCAGTGGACCATAGCACGCCAGGCCCTTTCATTCTCCATTATTTCTCGATGTTTGTCCAAGTTCATGTTTATTGTTTCCATGACACTATCTATCCATCTCATCCTCTCATCCCTTTTCCTTTTGCCTTCAATCGTTCCCAGTATCAGGGTCTTTTCCAGTAAGTACCATTTTCTGATTATGTGGCCAAAGTATTTAACTTTAGTATTTGACCTTCCAGTGAAAAGCCTGAATTAATTTCTTTTAAGTATTGACTGATTTGATCTTGAGATCCAGGGGACTACATGGACCTTTGTGGGCAAGATGATGTTTCTGCTTTTTAGTGTGTTGTCAAGATTTGCCATATCCTTCCTTCCAAGGAGCGGTTTCTTCAACTGATCTCCTTTTTGGAATGTTCTTGCAATACAGCACTCTGCAGTTCTTAAATTCACTTAATCATATAACATTATGTTAATAGACATAAACTCAAGGATGTTGGTCTTATGTGAACTTTGTATTTGCCCCAGTGCCTAGCAGTAATAAATATTGTTTGGAGGGGTTTCTGTTTGTGTCAGTGATAAAAGTACATACTGGTGAAATCATGAATCTTTAAAAAGTCTCAAAGTTTACTCATAGTGAAAAAATTCGTAATAAAATATGTTTTAGTGTTAATTTTCAGTAAATATAAAGATTTTGAATTATATGTTTTTTTTTAATCTGCTTCAGGAGCTGTAGCCCTTAAGAATCTCCAAATTAAAGAAAATGCATTGGTAAGTTTTTGAATATATAGAATTAGGAAAGCATTAATGAATTTAGTTATAAGCATGTATCTCTTTGACGTTTTACTATTCAAAATTAGATTCTTCTGGGTTGAGAATAACAATTCAGTCAGAAAAACTTCAGAATTAAAAGAGCATTCTGATATAGATAGCCTTTATCAGTTCTTTTGGTGAAACTTTTTCTTACTTTTAAAACAATAAACTTGATTTTAGAAATTTATTCCAAATACTGACAAAATCACAAGACCAATAAAAAAGAAGAAATGAATTTGAAAGGGAGTAGATAAGCCTTTTGAAGAGTTGAATTTGTGTATATACTCCTGAAAAATGCAAATCACATCTTAGGAGGGAAAATACTAATATGAATGAACTTTACTTTTTGCCCATTCGACTTTGGAAATTCAGGATGGCATGGTACAGTGGAAAAGCAATCATATTTGGAGTTAGAGGATCAGGATTCAAATCACACCCTGCTACTTGCTACATGTACTGTGACTATGGGCAAGTCAGTTAATCTCCATGGGCCTCAGTTTCTTCACCTTTAAAATGGAGAGATTGGACTACATGGCCTTTGAGGTCTCTTCTAGCTCTAAATTTCTGATCTTAATTACTTTATACTTAATTCTACAGTTGTTATTTTTAAATTGAATGAAAAGAATTTTCCATTTGTTAAGGAATGCTTTTGCTGTACAAGTAACCACTTTACAATTTATATTTTTGGTAAATGTAAGTTTAAACTGTAATCACATTGATACATATCTCTTGTATATCAAGTTTACTTAAAATGAGATCCGTCTCTACAGTATGTTATGTTAAGATTGTAGTTCTTATGGGTTACCTTAAATAATAATGTTCTATTACTATTACTGGAGAGATTCACACAAACTTGCAGGATGCTCATCTGTCTGGAATGCTACAGAAAGGCTCTTGTTTGTGGGAGGCTGGGTAACCAGGTGACCTCTAAGTTCTCTTTCAGTTCTAAGTGCTGTATTCCCTCAGTTCACAGGGACTTTACTGTCATTGTACTTCTATTGAATTGTAGGGATTTGGGGAATCAATATTCCCCAACAGACCCAAGCAATTACACTACCATAGGGAAGTCTAGTCTTTCCTATTGGGTTTTAAAGTTCTGGGAGTAGAAGACATTCATTTTGTGGGAGCTAAGTAGGACATCTAGGAAGTAAATGTGAAAGTAGACTGGTCCTTCTGTGTCATTACTACTCGGTGATCATGTGGTGTTCCAAAGAATAAAAAGCCAGATTTTCTTGCATTTCTTCAGCAGTTTCTTGCAGTTAGGGAAGGAAAGATAGGATTTTTGTATTGTCTTTTGACTTGACAAGTCATTGACTGAGCCTGAGGTTCTCTAAGTTTCTGTTCTAAATATTAATAGTATCCTAATGTTAAACTTAACATCCTGTCTAAAGTCCTTCCTGATAGCAGTGCTTATATATAGTTAAAATATATATATATATATCTCATTAATTCAGACAAAGTAGGGGCAAGGGACGTCTACGCTATCAAATTTTTTTTTCCCTTTTTGGTGAGGCAGTTGAGGTTAAGTGACTTGCTCAGGGTCATACAGATAGTGAGTATGATGTATCTGAGGCTAAATTTGAACTCTGGTACTCCTGACTCCAGGGCTGGTTGGTGCTCTATCCACTGCGCCATCTAGCTGCCCCCTAGCAAATTATTTTAAAGGTTTTTTTTTTATTACTAACTAGTTTCCATACGTTAATAATTCTAAATTATTAATTCTAATTAATTCTAATTAATAATTCTAAATGATAGAAAATGTAGGGTGTTTAAAAATTTTTAGTGCAGCCTTAAGCATCTTAAAAGTGCACTGCAATTTTTGGAACCCTTTTTATTTTGAAGCAGAGGTTCTATTTTTAATGACCAGGTAAAACCAGTAATTGATAGTATTTTTTGCCATGCCAGTTTATTTTCTTAAGCCAGTTAATGTCCCTTGTACTCATGTTGTCTCTATAAATACTTTTTAACAAATATTTTTATTTATATTTTTTAAAAAGCAAACTTTAGACTTAGTTTATGTTAAAGTATGATAATTAGGAATTAATTATTTAAATAGATTTAGATAGAATTTGATTTTAAAGGGTTTTACTTTATACTTGAGCAAGAATATGGCAAAATAACTTATTCTCAAGTTAACTCTTGAACTGATGAGCTCTCAAATCAACTTTACCTTAAAAGCACATACTATGGAAAATTCCATTTCACTCAAGTACTATAATGCCAAATTTATCCTTGTGATTACGTCAATTCTAGATCTGTTTTTTTCAGTATTGCTCATCTTAGCAGTATTGCTAAACTTCAGTCATCTTAGTATTGCAAAATTGCTATTGACAGATGGTGAATTTGATATCTACATTAAGTCTTCCACAAAATAAGTTTGTTTTAGATACTAATAAATAAAATTCCCATTTTTCAATAGTAATGAGAATAAATTTAAAAGAATATTTTGGTATATACAGATGGAATTTTCTCCCAACTGGTAAATTTTAAACTTTAAAAAATGTAATATAAGGGCAGCTAGGTGGCGCAGTGGATAGAGCACTGCCCTGGATTCAGGAGGACCTGAGTTCAGATGTGGCCTCAGACATATAACACTTACTAGCTGTGTGACCCTGGGCAAGTCACTTAACCCCATCACCTAGCCAAAAAAAAGTAATATTAACAGTAACAACAAAAGAGTTCCTTATTACGTGACCTCAAACAAGAGAAGAAAAACTTAATTGAACTCGGTGACACATGTTACTGGGGAAGCTGAGGGTGGCAGATTACTTGAGCTTGAAAGTTCTGAACTGCAGTAGGGTCAAAGTTGATCTCTCTGGTGTCTGTACTAACTCTGGCACCAATCTGGTGAGCTTCTAGGAATGGGATTACCAGGCTGCCTAAGCAGGGGTTAAATTGGTCCAGGTTGGTAATAGAGCAGGTTAAAGCTTCTCTATTGATCGATTAGTAGTAGGATTGGGCATTTGATTGACTGATGCATTTCCAGCATAGGTGAGTTAGGGACACACACACACACACACACACACACACACACACACACACACGTCAACCTATTGTGTTGATGAAATGTATTTTTATTCTCATTCTAGAGTGAACTGGATGTACCATTTAAAGTCAAAGCTGGACATATAGGTAAGTTAAATTCACTTGATAATTTGACCACTTTTGAGAAAATGTAACAATGCATTTTGATACAGGGATATCATGGTATAGTGAATAGGGAGTTGGCTTCTGAACTAGGATGACCACTTAGAGTCACCCTGCAACTGTGTCAATGGTTAGTCTCATCCTCCAAGGGAAAAAAGAGTTCTTCCAACCCTGGGAATCTGAAGGCAAAGAGAAGAGGGAGAGGTGCTATAGTACCAGGCATTCTTCAAGGTAAAAGGATAGGTGTTAAGCACCATTTTCATCAAATACATGGTAGAAAAATCAACAGAGTGACTGAGACAGGCAGAAGTTGAGTTGGGGAGAAATGAGTAAGCATTTGTAGAAAAAAGCCATTTCAGTGGACAAATACTTTGTAGTAAAGAAAACTGAGGCAGAGTATCCTGAGGAATGAATGAATGAAAAAGCATTTAAACACTTAGATTGTGTAAAGCATTGTGCTAAAGTGCTGGGTATGCAAATAGATAAGTAAAGGCAACCCCTCCTCTCAAGGAGCTCATATTTTAAGGGAGGAGAGAACACATATAGAAGATTTCAGCTGTAAGTCAGATGATAAGGTCAGTTTTCTTACCTTGAAATTTTCTACCTTCTCTTAGAGGCTAGAAGCAAAAGAAATAGAAATATATTATTTTTAATGTTATTTCTGTTGATAATATATCAATTTCTGATGTTGAGTCATTTGACAGTACCAAATACTTTGGTAGCAAGAACTTTGTTTTTTGGGTCTTTAGTAGTTGCAGTTAGGGGCAGCCAGGTGGCACACTGGATGGAGCACTGGCCCTGAAGTCAGGAGGACCTGAGTTCAAATCCGGCCTCAGACTAAATACTTGACACTAGCAGTATGACCTTGGGCAAGTCATTTAACCCCAATTGCCTTTAAAAAAAAAAGGTAGTTGTAGTTGCAACATCCATTGAAGCAACTGCCAGACAGAATTCCTATGTGGTTTGCTTTCTGGGATGATGATTGTGAGGAATGGGCTGGAATTAGGACGGATAGTCTGAGGAGAGCTGCCAGCTTCTGGGGTTCTTGGGCTTATGTATATTGATGGCAGTTGATTAGTAGTTGTTAGTGGTGATGGGCTCCCTCCACGTTGATTACTCTCTTCATTGATAGCAGTGGGCTCTGAGCTGGGAACATTCATCTAGGTGGGGAGAATACTATTCCCAAGGCTTTTGAAGTAAGGGTATTAGGCTATTTCCCTCAGGATCTGTGAGGAGGAGGTAGGGGTCAAGGTGGTGTGTGTGGTTTGACTTGACTGATACATACCACTTCCCATTTCTCCCTCAGTGTGGGTGCCTTGCTGCTTTAGCTATGGTGTCTTGCTCAAGGAAAGTGAGTATAGCAAAACAAATTCTGAAACAATAAGGAAAAAACCCTAAAACCTTCCAGAATATTTCAAAAGAGCGACAAAAAAAAATGACAAAAATTGTGACTTTTAAAGAAACGTTTACTCTCGTAGGTAGCATAGTTCAAAGGAATGAGTCATTTGGAGTCAGAAGACCAGGCCTTGCACTCACTCACTATTTATATGACATTGGACAATTCACTTAACCTCTGTGGGCGTCAATTTTTTTTCGTCTGTAAATTAGGAGATCACTGGTAACTTTGGAGAGAGTAGCTTTGGTTGAATAATGAAATTGGAAAGCCAGAATTTAGAGGAAAAAGAGAGTGAAAGAAGAGAAAGTGGAGGCATCTATTGAAGACATCCTTCTCAAAGAGTTTAGCCACAAAAAGCAGAAGAGATATCTATGATGAGTAGCAAGGATGGAAGGATCAAGTGAGGGTTTTTTGAGGTTGAGAGAGATATTGACATGTTTATAGATAGTAGGGAAGAAGCCAATAGAGGGAGAAATTGAAACTAAGTTAAAGTGTGGGGATGAGAAAGGGGCCAAATCTGTTGGAGGAGACAGGATGGAATGAGATTGCTTGTGCAGGCAGAGGGGTTGGCCTTCATAAGGAGTAAGGCCATCTTTATCATGTGAAACAGGAGTGATGAAAGACATAGTGGCAGAAGGCATCTGAGTAATAGGAGATGAAGAAGAAAGAAGGAGCTCATGTCAAAGTGTTTTGGTTTTTTTTCTGTAAAATAAGAAAGGTTCTCAGCTGAATGAATGGGGGTAGGGAGAACCATGGAAAGTTCAGGAGGTATAAAAAAGTTTGGAAGAGCCTCTGCAGAGAGTAAGATAGTAAATTGATAAGGGAGGTATAGAAAGATTGCTTAGTTTGTACTAGAAAACTTTTTTTTTCTCTTCACTCACATAACTGCTCCCTTAATTCAATCCCTTTTCCTATATTAGTATAACAGCCTTCTGATTGATCTCTCTGCCTCACATAAGTAGTGTAGTCCATCTTACTCAACGTTCCCAAAGTAATTTTTTTTAAATGCAGATGTGACTATATGGCTTCCCACTGCCCCCAACACACACACGCGCATGTGCGCACGCATGCACACATACACACACACACACTCTCTCTCTTTTTCTTTCTTTCTCTCTTCCTCTCTTTCAATTCTGGTGGCGTCCTATTGCATGTAAGATGAAATAAAAACTAAACAGAGGAGTTTATAAAGCCCTGCACAAATTGGCCCCAACCTGTATGTCCTGCCTCACTGAACATTATTCTCTCTCCTGCATTCTGCATTTGAGCTGCTGGCTTTATTTCTGTCCCTTGCACAGGCCACTCTATCTTTCTTCTCTTTCCCTTTGCACAGGCAGTTCCCCATGCCTGGAATGTACTACCTTCTTCCTTCTGCCTCTCTTCTAAGATGCAGCTCATCCTGCTCCTCTCAACTAGTTCCCTTCCTCCCAAATTACCTTTTACTTAATTATTTAATATACTTATTTATTTATTTATTCACTTTATATTTATGCTGTATATATTTTTATATATCCTTCTCTTTCCCAATAAAATGTAAATTCATCGAGAGTTGAGGTTGTTTTATTCTTTGTACTTATATCCTTAGAGCTTAGCACACGTATATGGCACTTAAATAAGTATTTGATCGATTGATATTGCAAAGAGTGCCAGCTCTTAGTTTTAAATATATACTTTCGATCGTATTAAAGAAGGGCCTTTTCCATGCATGCCTAATCTTTAGAGTTTTTAACAAAGTATTTTGTCAAAGAGACATTTTTGATTTGCATTATTGGAGGAGGCTGCAATATAGAGTTACCTAAGCCAGTGGTATTACAGATATCCATATATATATAATATATATATTTACATATTTACACACAGATACACGCATACATATTTGTGTGTGTGTGTGTGTGTATGGAGGAAGAGAGTATACTAAATGATTGCTTAATACCTATACATAGTTATATTTACTAACTATATACAAAATTCCTTTCCCTAGTTTAGCATAAGAGGTGGAAAATGGAATAGAAAGAGGTGATCACTAGGGAAGGAGAATAATGTATTTGGGGTTGGAATTAATTATATTAACAAATAATATGCTTAAAAATACTACATATAGTAAATTAGACAACAATTAGATCTAAAAATCCCGTTTATTTAGGAAATATTTTCATCTCATCCTGACAGATACTGTATGATATTTTTAAAAAATGGTATGTTTAAACAGTGATGGCGTTTCATTGTCTGTGTAGGTAAACTTGATCTCGTGATTCCATGGACAAACCTTTACACTCAGCCAGTTGAGGCAGTATTGGATGGAATTTACTTACTCGTAGTGCCTTCAGCCAGTAAGTTTAATTTTAAGGAAAAAAAAGTGTAATTTAAATGGACTGTTTTGAATGGATGAAAAATATTTTTGTATGTGATATTTATATTTAACATAAGTACCTTTTGTGATGTGTTGTATCACAGCTTTGTGTTTTTAAAATGACTATAAGTTCTTTTTTAAAAACTCACGTTAACTTTTATTGTTTGTTACCAGTAATTACATGAAGAGATTTTAAGATTAAACACTGAAAGGAGCATTTTATTTTAATCTTTTTATTTCACATAGCTTTGAAGTATGATGCAGAAAAAGAAGAGAAATATCTCTTAGATATGAAGCAGAATGAACTAAAGAGAATAGAAGATGCAAAACAGAAAACAGCAAACAAAGGTAAGAAAAGCAGCAAATGCCTATTTAGACAGGAAAAAATGGAAGGTAGCTGTTTATTTTTGGTTGAGGGGCATCTCTAATCAAGTAATTTGTCTTTATGGCAAGCCAAGTGTTTTTTGCAGCTTCTACTTGTGGATTGTGGTTCTGCCTTCTGTGGCTAATCAGAACAAATCTTTGACATAATTGACTTTCAGATATTTGGATATGGCTGTTATGTTTCCTCCTCTTCCTCTTGTGAAGAATTTTCTTTTTTTCAGGTTAACATCTCCAGTTCATTTAGAATGGCCTTGAGTCCTTTTCCCATTTTGATCACACCAATCTGGGCCCACTCTAGTTTCTCAGTGTCCTTCCTTAACTACTTGGTGCTTCAAATCTTAGTCATGTTCATTCTACCTTTTTGATGTAAAGTGCATTTTCTTTAATTGAGAAAATTAAGCAAAATCGGAGTCAGGTGTTCTGCTTTTTGTTGTTTGTTAATACACTTTTCTCAAGCAGTGGACTTATTTTTGCCTTGTCTTCTTGTTCTGAACATAACTAAAGTAGACTTTTTTGTAGTATTTTGTGCTTTAATTCCTGAAACTATTCATTCTTATAGGATCCTGCCAATATTTTGCATTTTTCCTTAGTTACAGGACCCTTATTCAGTCTTTTTTTACATATCATATAAGAAATCTGAGTTTATCAGAGATCTAACTTTTACATCCACTTTTATCTTTTCAAATGCCTCCCATTTTTATTCTTCATTGAGAACATTGGCACATTTCATCACAGTTTTGTTTTTGAGAACTTCCCATTCTTTTGAGGACCTTTCCTTTTTAGATTTTAAGGCTATAGGATCATATCTGACATTTCTTAGAACTTTTGGAAATCTAATTTCTTACACTCTGGTGTATGTATGTGACTATCTTGCATCCCCTCCTTTTGGATATCACAAACTTTTAAGAGAATAGATGGTAAGCTCCTTGAGGGCAGGGACTGGCTTACCTGATTTTTGTTTCCTCAGTGCTTAGCACAGTGCCTGGCACATACATAGCAGGTGCTTAGTAGGTGTTTTTTGATTAATTAATGATTAAAGGTGACATAGAATCTTTGGGAGAAAGTGACTATCGCTTCTAGTTATTTAATCTGTTCTTCTTGTTAGTTAGGATTGTGTTCACCAGTTAAATTGTATTTATTTCTTCATCGCTTTTCTGAGAGATTAAATTGCCAGCCAGTCAAGAAGTGATTAGCTATCCAGCTTTTACATGAATGAAAATTTCAGCAAATGTTTGGGTAGGTGGAACCCTCTATCACTGCCGTATATTGCCTTTGTGCCATTATTGTGATATATATCTGGAATTCACTATTCTTTCTCTTTGGCTGGGGTATTCATTGGTTCACTGACCATTGATTAAATGCCTGCTGTTCACAGTGGCAGGTACTGGAATGTGGGGCAGGTCTGTAGGATACTCTATGGCATTTGTACCAGGTGGCCTTCAGTCTTACTCCAGGGATATTTTTAGCTAGCATACTTATCTTTTTTCTACTTCAAGTACATGTCTACTACAATGAGGAGAAATCGTGGGGTGAAAACTATATAGTTTTCAACTGTCTATACAAGGACGATTCCTGAATCTCTTCTTTTTTTTTCTTCATTTCTGATTTCTCGTTATATTTCTTCATTGACTTTTCACTTGAAATTAGGTGTTTAAAACTGCATTTACTTTACTGTTCTTGACTGAGGATCTGTGAATTAAAAAAACAAACTATTTTTAACATAATTGGTTTCCTTGATACTCTTATGCATTTGATTTTATGCATTTAAAAACTTTATTTTGAAAAGGAATCCATAGACTTCACCAGACTGCTAGAAGGTCCATGACACAAGATTACAGCCTTGGCTGTAGAGCTATTTACTTTCCTCTCAGACTTCTCAGTCTCAGAGAATGATGCCTTAGTTCAGTCAGACATAAAACTCATCTTTAATTGCCTCAGCGCTCCAAATCTAGGCATTCACCAGATCCTAATAATTTTCTTATGTCTGCCCTTGTTATTTCCTTTCTTAATGCCACTGTATACAGTCAAGCTCTTCATTGCTTCGTGTCTATGTTAATCATACAGGGGAAGTATCAGAAAATGTTCAAACAATATTATTCAGTTTAAATAAAAAAAAATACAGATGTTATACTAATAGTATAATAATAATACACTATACTAATAGTGTAAAACGTGCCAGACTCTTAATTCCTTAGATGCTAAATATAAATGCTCCATGTTTTGCCTGTTCTAAATTTGGTCTGTAGCTCTGATTCTTTGCCAAGACAGTTTTCTTTAAAAACGTGTGCACAGGGCAGCTAGGTAGTGCAGTGGATAGAGCACCAGCCCTGAAGTCAGAAGGACCTGAGTTCAAATTTGGCCTCAGACCAAACACTTGACATACACTAGCTGTGTGACTTTGGGTAGGTTACTTAACCCCAATTGTTTAAAACAACAACAACAACAACCCCCCCCAAAAAAAACCCACAACAACAACATAAATAGAGGCAGGTTGGTGTTGGCAGTGGATAGAGCACTGGCACTGGATTCAGGAGGACTTGAGTTCAAATGTGGCCTCAGACACATAACACTTACTAGCTGTGTGACTGAGCAAGTTACTTAACCCCATTGCCTGGCTCCCTTCCCCACCAAAAAAAAAAAAAGACGTGGGTGCACACATACACACACACACACACTCTCTCTCTGTTAACAATTTATTTATTTCTTAATGATTTTAATATTTGAATAATATTGATATGTGATATGTGTGTTTAGTGGCCTTCATGTAATAAGCCTTTTATTTGTGGTGGCTTAATCAGCATATGAATTTTTCTAAACTGCATTTTTCTCTCAAACTAAAAATGTTTTTGTTTGCATTTTATAGAAAATCCACAAGAGAAACAGGATACTTTTTCAGAAAAGCTGATTGCACAGATAATAAAAAATCTTCAGTTAAAAATTTCTAATATCCATATCCGATATGAAGATGATGTAAGTATTTCTATAGGTTTGCCTTTACATTGAACAATTGTAGCTGTCATTTGTAATTTATAATGATGGGGGTCTTTGTTTCTCATTTTATATTCTAATTATTCTAAAATGTTTTTATTATCATCATGGTTTAAATTTAGCAGCTTCAAGAAGTTTGAAATGTTCTTAAAGAGTATCACATTCACCTTTTGGAAGTACAACTGACCTAAGAGTCAAAAGATCTATGTTTGAGTACTGGCTTTGCCACTTGGCTAGTCTTCTGACTTTGGGCAGATCTCCTAACTTCATCTATAAACGGGGATATCTGCCTTCTCAGAAATAAGTGGGATAGTGAATTTGAAAGCACTTTGAAAACTACAAGGCCCTGATCAAATGCAGTAGCGTCATTTTTTTTTAAAAGAAAGGTATTGTAAAGCATTCAAATGTAGACGATATTTAGAATATGAACATATTGAATACTTCTTTGAAATTAAAATTTTTCTTTGCATTATGTAATTTTTTTTTTTAGATTACAAATCGAAAAAAACCATTGTCATGTGGGATATCTCTTCAGAATTTCAGCATGGAGGTACTTTCTCTTTAGAAAAGATAAGCAGATTGATTTTTAACCGCTTAACACAACTATGCAAACACCTAAAAATATTCTTTTCTGCTGATTACTTCCTGCCCTTACCTGCCAAAATCAGAAATTGGATATAGGAAAGTTAAATGTTAGAGTTAGCAAACTAATTCAGATACACAGAAGAATATGGAAACCATCATTTAAGAATGAAGCTGATACAATTCCAGTTTTCAGAAATTATTGAAAGAAAGAGTAAGAGAATTTTAGCTATCCTATTTAGGTTCTATAATTTAATTATTGTACTGCTGTGGATTATCTTTTAAATATGACCATTTTATTTTTTGAGGGAAGAGTTTTATGTGATGGACTTTTAAAAAAAATTTTATTAATTTATTTTGATTTATCAACAATAACTTCCATATACTTTTGAGTTGAAAATTTTTCTCCCCTTTCCTCCCCCCCGACCCTCCCCAAGACGGCGCACAATTTGATATAGAATTTACATTCCTAGTAAACATATTTTCACATTAGTGAAGTTGTAAGTAAAAATTAAAACCAATAGGAGGAACCATCAGAAAGATGAAACAAAACTCAACAGAAGGTAAACATAAGTGATAGCAGTTCAAGTTCCATAGTTCTTTCTTTGGATGTGGGCAGCATTTTCCATCCCGAGGCCTCTGGAGATGTCTTAGATCCTTGTAACGCTGAGAAGGGCTCAGTTTAACAATATTAGTCATCGCATAACGTGGCTGTTATTGTGTACAAAGTCCTCTTGGTTCTGCTCACATCTTATGTGATGGACTTTTAAAAAATGATCAGTTATTGAATATCCTTGGGGCTACACAGAAATTGACTGCTTGTTTAGGAGTGCATATTCAAGAGGAGAGTAAACATGTCATTGTGTAATGCAGAAGCTTGGCAAACATAATATAATTAAATTCATATAATTATAGAAATGTGTTGAGTCAAAAATGTGGGTCAGGAATTATTAAGGTGCTTGGGATTACTAAGCAGTCTTAGAGAAGTACCACACTGTAAATAACAAACTAGTTATAATTAAGTACTGTATAAAACAAATATATGAAAACTATTTGGAAGTTTTGAAAATGTAAGGTATTTTGATATGCCTTTGACGTCCTTTCTGCCAAAGCTTTCTATATAGCTAAATTTAATAGAGATGTCATTCAAACAGTCATGTTAATGATATTTTTTTGGATTTTCTGCAGATTTCATTTATCACTGCTGTGCATGGTTATGTAACTGTCACATAGTCAATTTAGTTTTATAAATATTTGCTGATACTAAATGTTATGGATTGTTTGTTCTTTGTATCATTCTCTGTATCAACCCAATAGGTCTTATTGACTAGAAATATTTTTGAATACTGTTAGATTTTATATTTCATATATATGGGCAAAAATGTATTAAAATAAATAGCTATTTTTCCCTTGTCTCTCAAATTAAGGTGACATTTATGAACTTTGTTGTATATAAGCTTTGTACCTTGTCACAGAAATGGCAAAAACTTTCTTTTTTTTGGCGTGCGCTGGACTTGTAATTTCGTTGGTGTTAGGAGCTCCTATTAAAGAACGTCTTTCCTGCCTCTAGATCATCACTTTGTCTGTGACTTTGAGCCTTAAACATTGTCCTGGGGCACTGACAGGTGAAGGGATCTGTGTAGGGTCACACAGCCAGCATAGGGCAAGAGATGGGCCTTGACTCCTAGTCTTCCTAACTACTCTTGACATTGTGGTATTGCCTCTTTTATTGGAAGAACAGATAATTAGATTCTAAAGATACTGCTATATTCATTCTTAGAAATTACTGAAGCCTAATATTTCCTTGGAAACATTTTTATAGGTGATCATGTTCATTTAGATGCTGCAGCTGGGTTATTCAGTTTGATGTATAGTTTATCATATAAAAATACACATGGCAGATATGTAATAACATTCACGGTCACTTTAACCAAAAACTGATCAACTTTTTCATATAAGTATATGCAATTATTTCTTAATTACCAAATCTGATGGTCTTTTTCTCAGTCCTCATCTAGCTTGACCTTTATGGTTAGAGTCTTTCTAAGACTTCTAGTACAAATAAGATTTTAAGGGGCTACACATATCATAAAAATATAAACAGTTTAATCTTGCTTACTACCTCATGATTTCTTATTCATATGTACCTTTTTATGTTTCTTTTGAGTCCTGTTTTTGAATATCATATTTTTTATTCATCTCTTCTCTTCAGGAATGCTTTAAAGTGCCTCTATTTCATTAAATATACATTTTTTTCTCCTGCTGAATTATAATCAGTTTTGCTAGGGCAAGTTATTCTTGTTTGAAATTCCATATCTTTTCCTTTCTGGAATATCATATTCTAAGCTCTCCACTCCTTGATAGTGGTGGCTGCTAAATAGTGTATGATCCTGACTGTGGCTCTGTGGTATTTGTATTCTTTCTTTCTGGCTGCTTCCAGTATTTTCTCTTTGATTTGAGTGCTCTGGATTTTGGATATAATATTCCTGGGAGTTTTCGTTTTGTGGTTTCTTTCAGGAAGTGATCAGTGAATTCTCTTTCTGCTTTGCCCTCTGATTCTGAGCTGCCTGGGTGGTTTTCCTTTATAACTTATTGAAATATGATGATGTCTAAGCTGTTTGTTTTGTTTTGGTTCACTGGTTTTAGGTAGTCCAGTGATTTTTAAATTCTCTCTGATCTATTTTCTAGGTCTGTTGTTTTTCATAAGATATTCGACATTTCTTTTTTTTTCTTGAGTCTTTTAACTTTGTTTTATTATTTCTTGATGTCTCATGGAAACATTTGCTTCCATTTGGTTAGTTATAATTTTTGAGGTGTTATTTTCTTTTATAAGATTTTATACTTCTTTTACCAAGCTGCTAAATTGTTTTCATAACTTTCTTGTATAGCTCTCTTTTTTCGCTTCATTTTTTCCTCTACCACTTTTATTTGGTTTTTAAAATTAAGTTTTTGCTCTTTTAAGGAAAATCTTTTTTTTTTCTTTAACTCTTTCTTGGAATTCTTCTTGGACTTGTGTTTGATCTGCATTTTTTCATTGAGATTTTGCTTGTAGACATCCGAGTCATTCTCTTCTGTATTTGAATCTTGAGCTTCCCTTTTACCATAGTAGTTCTTTATGGTTAGGTCCTTTTTACTCATTATTCCGACCTGTTTCTTGACTTTGGACTTATATTAGTGTTGCTTCTGAGGAGTATAGTCTGGCTTGAGTTTCTGTCCTTTTATGCCCTGATGCTGCTTTCATAGTTTGTTCTGGGGGCCTGCAAAGTTTGGTTTTTTCCAAAGTGGTGTGATTTGGGGAGGAGTCTGTTTGATGCCCTCTTACTCCTAGCTCTGCAAGTTTCTGATCTAGGTTTGGGCCTTTTGGCTTGTGCGTGGTTCAATAGAATGCTCCTGGACTCAGTTACTGTTAAATCATTGTAGGACTGAATTGCTAGCTTCTCCTTTGGTATTTGTCTCCTGCTCTGGTTATTTCACTGCAGGTTTTCATGTTGGACTAAAGGTTAGAACTGAATCTCTACTCTGCTCCCAGTCTTGGAGCCAGACAGCTAAATTTCTGGAACTTGTTCCTTGTTCAGTATGCAAGCAAAGCCCCCATTCATCTGTAATTGCTCTCTGTCCTGGATCTGTGAGTTGGATCTGGGTAGTGGGTGAGAGAGCTACTAGATAGCACCTTTTCCTGTACTCAATGCTAGTTCATGGGTTCCCTGGAATCCCTTTCTGCCCCTGTACTTCTAGCTCTGGTGTTCTGTCTAGGCTCCCTTCTGAACTTTAGTGCTAGAATGTTTTTGTCTCCATTGCTGCTATTGTGCTGCATTCCTGGCTGGCCCCCATGTCCATAGATCTCTCTGTCTATCTTCCTAAGCTGCCCTGGGCTGGGAAAGTGACTCTTTGACACTTGTTCTTGACTGTCCTGATCAGAATTTGGACTGGTGCTTCATCTAGGTTGTAGGGGAGAAGGTGTCCTGAGTGAACTGCGCAACAGTACTTCCTCTCACTCCACCTTCTTGACTTCCTGTCCCAAACTTATGATACGTTAATCCCTTTCCTGTTCTCTGGTTCTCCTCTTTGTTACTCACTCTTACTGCTTCATGGAGTAGAGCCTTTGTACTTTCTGACCCCTGTTCTTAGAATGTGTTCTCTCCTTGCTCTCTTCCTTCATGATACAGCTCAACTACCACTTCCACATGGAATTTTTCCTGATCCTTCCCAGCTGTTAGTGCCCCTTCTCCCAGTTACTCCATATTTGTTTGCACTTACCTCTTTATGTTTATTCTATATGTACTTATTGTCTTCCCCTTTAGGATGTAGATTCTTTAAGAACTGGGATTATGTCTTTGTATTTGTATGCCCGTTGTCCAGCACAGGGCTGAGATCTTAGTAAATGCTTGTTCAGTGATTGATTAGAATTTCTCTAAATTCTGTTCACTTTTTTGAACTTATTTTATCATAAATGATTGCCAAATAGGACACATATCTGTATTCTTTTGAAAAAGATGGAGATAAAGGTAATCATCAAAACATACATAGCCATATACTCCCCTATTCTTAACTGTTTATTATAGCATGCAAATGTGATGCTACATTCACACCCAAAAGATATATAGGAACTCATGTGGTTTGCCTCATTATTATATCAAGTCTCAATCTTCATCTGGTCATCTCAACTCCAGAATCAGCCTTGCTCAGTGCTGCAAACTGATACTAAGTGGTTTTGATGTGACTAGGGCAAGCACTGTTTTATAGTCATCAGGACAAAGGGAACTAAATCCTTCTGTAAATCCATCATTCTATGATACATAGACCCTAACCACTTTCAAATGCATCAAATGTGATCAATTTGACCAAGAAAAGGCTAACAAACAGCCCTTTTGGCGTGAGGGTTTGTACCCTTTGATTTATTAGTCATTATTTTCATTTCCTGTCCTTTTCTTCCTTCTAGGATAAGAGGCCTGGTCTAACTAGCTTGTATCAGAAGAAAATGACTTTGGTTTTAGACATAATGAGTTGCATATGCTGTTAAGACAACCGTGTGTTTTTAGTGGCAATTTTGAGTTTGTTGCTTGATAGAGCTCTGGAATTAAGGTATAGATTTGAGAGTTAATCTGTGTAGTAGTAATATTTTAAGTTCTATCATGGATGAGCATACCAAGGGAGACAGTATATAGTCAGGAGAAAATTATAGTACAAATATAGTACTTTGTATAATACTTGAATTTGGAGGGTTGAAGAAAAAAGACCTGGCCAAGGAGACAGTATTGGTCAGAAATGAGTACCAGAGAGTCCATTGTTTGGAAACTAAGGGAAGACAACATTTCAGAATGTTCAGCAGTGTCAGGTCCTAAATATCAAGGAGGATAAGGATTTAGAAAATGTCTTGGGAGAACCTCAGTCTTTTAGAATAGTTTCAGGAAAGTAATAGGAATAGATTAGAAAGGTTAATGTGTTGCTGTTGCTCTTTTGAAGGTTTAATAACAAAACATGGTGTGTGAGTGACTGTCATATTGTGCCCATTAACTGTGGATATCCTTCAAAACTGTGTCCTGGGCTTTATCTTTTTGTCCTAATAGTCTCTCATTTGGTAATCTCAGCAGCTGCCTTAGGTTCAATTATCATCTGTATGAAGATGGTTTCCACATCTGTTTATATAGACCTAGTCTCTCCTGAGCTACATTTTTCCAACACCAGTTGCTTGTTGGACATTTAAACCTGGATATTCCACCAGCATATCAAACTCAGTATTTCCAAAGTTATGCTAATCTTCCCTGTAAAGTTTTTTTCTCTTCCCCCCCCCCCCAACTTTTGAACTTCCATATTTACTGTTAAGAGGAACACCATCCTCCCACTCATCCAGGTTTACAACTTTGGTGGCATCTTCAGTTCTTCTTTCTCTCTCCACATATCTAATCAGCTGCCAGATCTTGCAGTTTCTTTTTCTACATTTCTCAAATGCATTTTCTTCTTTCCATGGCATAGTTACCAACGTAGTCTAGGAACTCGTCATCGGACAGTTGTGGTAACGTTGCAATTGTTCTCTCTACCTCAGTTATGTTCCTTCTCCAATCCATTGTCCACTTAACTGCCAAAGTGATTTTCCTGAAGTTCAGATCTGACCATGCCCCACGCCCCTCTCCCCTTTGGTTTCCTGTTACCTACCGATTAAGGGTGCAATCCTTTGACATCCAGTGAATCTAAAGGGAAAAGAAAGTAGAGCTAATCCAAATATTACAAGGATGATTTTTGAACCCTAGTTTATGGAAAGTTAAAATGGAAGGACAAAGTCAAGTCAGTATTTATTAAGCACTTACTATTGTGCTAGGCACTGGAAATAAGAAATGCAAACAAAAAGAAAAATACACAGTCCTTGCCTCATAGAGCTTACGTTGCAATGGGGGAAGACAGCACATAAAAAAGCAGCTAAAAAAGTGTGTGTTTGGATGGGTGTGAGGGTGGAGCAAGGTATATGCAGGGACATGGTGGCAAAGTCCAGAGAGTCAGGAGTAGAATGGGGAGAAGAGTAAAGAATGACTGACCTGGATCCTTCCTCAAAATGGAGACTCCATGAAAAACTTACCAGCGGGAGGAGAAGACTTACAGGGGGGAAGGATGAGAAGGCAGTTGAGATGTGGTGGTAAAGGTCAGAAAGTCAGGAGCAGAGCTGGGAGAAGAGAAAAAGAAGATGAATTTATCTCAGTCTTATTACAAAGGCATAGTTTTTTGTTCTATTTTGTGATCATTTGTTGCTTAAAAAAAAATTGAGGTGAATAACCAGAATTATTTTTTTAAAGAAATGGCAGGAATGCTGATCGTTGAATATGAGTTAGAAGGTACCATGGAGATCATCTAGTCCAACTGTTTTCAGACTAATAAACTAAAATATAGATACAGGAAGTGGTTTGCTCCCAAGCACATGGATAAGCAACAGAGAAGGCATTTGAACGGAAGTCTTCGGGCTCCAGATTCAGTGTCCAGATTCAGTGACATTTATATTGTCCTCGGTATTTGATATATTAAGGAAGTAAGTTACTTTGTACCTGGAATTGAAGTTTATTTAAAATTAGACATATGACCTAGCCAGGAATTTTGAAAATAGGGAGCATCATTGTATAAGTTCAAGTGGTGTTCCCATATGATCTTAATTTGCTATCATAAAATTTTAAGTAATTAAGTGCTACACATGTGCTACTCTTAATTTATGCTCATATATCAATTTTAAAAAAATAACAGTGTCAGTGGGCTTAGCAAAAGATAGAAGTTCTAGTCTTGCTTAGCACTTAATTATTAGCTGTATGATCTGAAGGAAATCCTGTCCACATACTACCAAAGCCTAGGAGTTCCTGCCATGGCATCCTAATGGGAAACAAAATAGAAAATTATGAGGGTTTAGACAATTGAGCCAGCAAGTGCCTTCTATAAGTTGTCTGCTTTCCTTTTTTTTTTGTTTTTTGTTGTGTTTTTAGTGAACTCCAAGTACTTAGTGCTAACAGGTGAAATACCTCCCTATTTTGAATTGTTGACTTGTTTATGGACTTGGAACCTGTAGTTCTTTATAGTTTTTTCTTAAATGATTCTTCGACTCATTCTTAATATGTAATGCTATTTGCTGTTTCCCTTTGACTTTTCTAGTTGACCTCTCTGAGGTGTGATGATTAGGACTTTCTCTGAATGTTATTTTTCTTAGATTAATTTGTGTGTTATTGGTAATGATTTGACTGCCATCTCTGACAAGTTACAAAACCTCTTTAAGCCTCAGATTCCTCATCTGTAAAGTAGGGATGTAAATGATTTCAGTACATATATCAGAGATTGTTTTGTACATTAAATGAGACACGTGCTAAAGTGTATAAAGTTATTTTATAGTTTTAATGCTATAAATGTAGACTTCATTAAGCCCTTGGATAAACATGATTTCATTTGTGTCTTTTTCTTTTTTTTAGACAACTGATCAGAATTGGAAACCATGTGTACATGATGCAGCCAAGAAAGTGTTCTGGAAGGTAAAATATAACAATATTAATTGCATTTTCTCCACATCTTGACACGTGGCTAGAGTCTTTTTTGTTTGTTTTAAGAAGGGGAAATAATACTGTGTAGAGAAGTGATTGTGATTTAAATCTTATCATTTGCTCAAATATATGATTATTTCTCAATCGACTATTGAAAATCCACATTAAAAGTTATAATTTATTAAAAGAACTTAAAAAAATAAATTGAAACCTTATAGACGTGTTTTATTTTCAGCTAATACGTTTAGATAACCTTTTTGGCTATTGGAATGTGAATTCTAAGATGTTTCACAACTATGGTGACTATAAGAAATCTTTGGTAAGTACATTTTAATGTCATGTATCTTTGCTTGTTTAATTCAGTTAGGTTTTGTGATTTTTTTTTTCAGTATGGGTACTCTTCTATATTAAGGAAGAATCCCTCTATAACTTCGTAGATGAGAATTTGGCCATGAGCCTTTCCAAATTAAGCCAAGTTGGTCCTCCTAAAGAAGATATGTTCATCATTGATCCCACACTTAAAGATTTTCTTGCTTGGTAAGACCAGCCAGAGCATACATTTGGCTGGTGTAACGTTTAAGAACACAGAGTCCACTCCTTGCCACAATTAGCATTAGAGTAGGACTTAGGGAGAGTACTTTATGGCTATATATAAAGCACTTAAATGTGCATATGACTAGATATTTTGTTTTTTAAAATGTTCATATTATGACATTTATCTCTGTTATTTTATGTTTGTTGCTTTCTAGACAAAATGTGTCAAGAGAGCTCAGTGAACCCAGTTATCTGAATGAGCATTTGTTTTTAACAATTTTCTTTTACAATACTGATTTATGAAGGATTATTTTAAATTTACTACTCTTATTTTTCCAATGCTAAATATGTTGTATTGCAACTGAGTTTGTGTTTGTAAAAAAAAAAAATAGATGTTTCTACTAGGTCATGGTATGTGCAATAGCAGAATGTCAGATTATTTTACAATGTTGGTGTTAACCATAAATAAAACCAATTTTGTCTTTTAATAGGAAAGCTTAAAGTATGGAGTTGTCCATGAAGACATTATCCCAGAAGGTTATGATTTTGGTGAGTAATAGTCTTTTTTCCAAGATTTTAATGGCCATTAAATTTTAAGTGGCTTCAAACGATAACCTAATGAAATTAAATGTCCTATTCCTATTAGATTATTTAAAAAAAAACCCTTTCATTTTTATTTTGTCTTTGTTATTATTTAACTTGCTGTTGGGAATATAGGGAAATATTCCAGACATAAGGGAAAATATAGATGTTAAGTTGCTGTTATATATTCTGTGGACATTCAAGAAGTGTTTATTACTGGTAGTTTGTTGATGCTAGCTAACTCAATTCCTGAGCTGGACTCTCTAAAGTTTTTAACCTGAAATAATTCAGCTGCCTGGATATAGACTTCTTTCTGTTTCCACTTGTAGAACATGATTTTTGGTTTTAAGGAGCTATCTAATATATAAAGAAATAGTTAAATAGATATTCCGTATAAATGTATCTTTTAGCATACCCATAACTGTAATAATCCAACCTGTTTTTCCAGACTGATTTAAATTGCTTCCCAGATGCTCACTTTCAGTTAAATGGTACTATGGGGTTTTCTCTGTCCTCAGTATTTCACCTACTTCCTCTGTGCTTTTGCACACAGGCTCAAATACTTTAGTCATCTCTTCTAACCCTGGAAATCTCTGACTCCCTTTGAGACTCAACTGAAGTGTCAGCATCTTCACAAGGTTTTTCCTGATCCTTCAGTTGTCAGCATTTTCCTTCTATCTCTGTAAATTACTTGTGCATATTTTTTATTTACTTACCTACTATATACAACTTATTTCCTCCAGTAGAAAACAAAACCTTTAAAGGCAAAGACTATTTTGCTTTTTTCTTAGTATTCCTAGTGTCTACCATAGTATCTTGCACAAACATGTAATGAGTTATTTTACTTCTCATTTTGGAATTTCAGTGTATTTTAGATTTTTCTTCATTTCACATTAATATGTGATTTAGTTAGTCCTTATCATATTTAGTAAAGGCAGACAGTATATTATGTGGATTAAAAAAAGATAAAAAAACTTCCAAAATTAATTAGAATATCTTATACATACCTTCCAGCTCTAAAAATATTCTCAGATTTGATTAAAGAGAGATGCTGCAATTTGGCTATTATTGGGGAGAACAGTTGTAGTAGACATGGGTTTAAGTGACTGACACAGTCACTTATTACCTCTGTGACCTTAGACAGATTTCTCCAAGGTGCAGTGTAAAATGGTGTTAATATTTGTAATGTCTATAGAAGCATTTTATAATCGTAATCTGATATGAAATTGTTAACCAGTGTGTCAAACTCAAATAGAAACCAATTCTTCTAGGCCTCATATTGACTTAAAAAAACATAAATTAACATTGTGGAGGTTGTATTGTATTTTTATTTATTTTGTTAAACATTTCCCAGTTACATTTTAATCTGGTTCTCACTGCACTGTGGAGCTTTTTGGCCAAGAAGACAAGAATACAAGCTTGAGATGTGTGGTGTAAACTTTTTTTTTTTTATCAATGTCCAGGAGTTATAGATGAGTAGGAAAAGGAGAAAAAAGAATTTATTGTAAACCCTCCCTATTTTTAGTATTTTAAGGGTTGAAACCACAACGGAAAAAGAGGCTGTCTAAAATTGAGGTGGCTGATCTGTTTTCTCAATTTAATTTCTTTTAACCTATGTTATGTTCTAGTATTCCGTCCCATATCGGCTCAAGCCAAACTCCGCATGAATCACCGAACAGATTTAGATTTTTCTGCACCAAAATTGGATTTGGATGTGAGGCTACAAGATATAGGCATTGAATTGAATAAATTACAGGTGATATTGATTTTGTAAACTATTTTGAATTGTCAATTATATATTTTTTAAAATGAGAGCTAAATTTTGGAAATAATCTTCAGTATTTAAATAGTATATTTTATATACTTTTTATTTTCTCTGTGGTTAGAAAAAGGTAAACAATTGAGGCATTTGCTTACTTTCAGTGATTAGATAATACTTTTTTTCCTGAGACATTTAAGAACATTTACTTTTTTTCCATTTATTAGTATTTCAGTATCATGGAGCTCCTTGAATCAGTTGACATGATGACTCAAAACCTGCCATATAGGAAGTATAGGCCTGATGTACTTGTTCACAACAATGCCAAGAAATGGTAAGCATATTTTTTTCTTAAACATGCTTTATTCAAGATAAAATTGCAAAATGATATTTGAAAATAATTTCTGGGAATAATTTATATATTTGAAAGGGAGGGGGGTGCATTGTTGGTTTATTTTCTTCACCCATTATTTTCTACCTTCTTATTTATAGGTACTTGTGTATTTTTTAGACATAGCTAGTCTGAGGCTAACATTAGGATAGCTATTAATTCCTGGGTCATTAATTTGATATGTTAAATTTTGAAATTAAATACAAAGTTTGAAATGATAGCATTTGGAATATAACTCTTTTCAAGTTGTTATTTAGCAGGACTGAACTTTCTGAATTAAAAACATTTCCTTTAAATTTGACTTTAAATTTCCAAGCTCAGCATTATTACTACTATTTTTTAAAGCCTTATATGATAAATTATCTGAACATATTCTATCAGATATTGGATTCCAAAGCTTTATCTGTCAAATACTTTGCAGTTTACATTCCCTTCATTGTCTGGAACCTTTAGACATGTTGACTTTTTCTTCCTTGAGCCAGTTTCCAATATATGAACTACTTTGTAGTGTGTAAATCATGTTCCTGTAAATCAAGCTACCTTAACTTTCTTAAAATGAAATTTGAAAATCTAGCAAATGTTTTCCTCATTTGTTTCCTCTTATTTTTTTAACCAGACCTTTGATTTTAATGATATAAGGAATTCCATTGAGGAAACCTCTTTAACTAATGTAGATTGGCAATTGTATTGTTATAGCCTTTAAAGGTAGAGGAAGAATGGAATAAGCATTTATATAGCACCTGCCATGTGCCATATATTGTGCTAAATCTTTAAAAATATTTCATTTGATTTTCATAGTAGCCCTTGAAAAAAGTAGGTATTGTTATGTTCATTTTGCAGTTGGGGAAACTGAGGCAAACAGAGGTTGAATGACTTGGCCAGGGTCACACAGGTAGTAAGTATCTGAGCTTGGATTTGAACACAGGTCTTCCTTACTCCAGGTCCACCACTTTATCCACTGTGCCACCTAACTGCATGTAGCGATTGAGGGGCAGCTAGGTGTGCAGTGGATAGAGCCACCTGCCCTGGAGTCAGGAGGACCTGAGTTCAAATCTGGCCTCAGACACACAATACTTCCTAGCTGTGTGACTCTGGGCAAGTCACTTAACCCCAACTGCTTCCCTTAAAAAAAAAGAAAAAAAGAATTGATTAGGTACCTTTAGAGGTTAAGTGACTTGACTAGGGACATGTGGGTAGTATGTATCAGAGGCAGGACACCCAAATTCTTATGTTTCTGACTCTAAGACTGGCTCTTTTCATGCATTTTGCCTTTACATTTGGTTCCTTGTACAGGTAGTAAGATTGACTCAGTCCAATTTCTCTTCTTACTATTTCCTTCTTGGTGGCCAAGGTGCTAGTAGTCTATAACTGACAAAAAGAATAGCAGAAGGGAAGACGAAAAAAAATCACCTGGCTAATTTTCCGTTGAGATAATAAATTGCTTCATTAATATGTACTTTTAGAATATGTATAATTTCAACTTTATCTCTTAGAGCTATTTTATATATATATTTTTCATTAGGTGGAAGTATGCAATAACTGGTATTCTTAAAGTAAATATCCAGCCCAGGCTGCGCATGTGGTCATGGAAATACATATGTGAACATAGGCAAAACGTGAAGCAGTATAAAGAGCTTTATAAGAGAAAGATAAGAAGTAAGAAGCCAGCTGATGAAATTCTAAGCTCTTTGCAGGTTAGCATTTTTTTTTAAAACATTGATGATATGTTGACTGTACTATACTACTTGAAACTTCTTTTGTCTTTTAACAGTTGCCAATTTTCCTGATTCCACTCATTATTTTTTTCTCTTAATGGCAGCTCTTCTCTGTTTGTACCGTCTACTAATGTCTGTCTGTTGTGTTTTTTTTCTATTTTTTCTCCATATTCACTTTCATAAAGGAATCATCCTCTCAACTATCATTTATATGTCATTGAAGACTCTCCTAAGTTATCTGAGCCTTTAGAATTTGACTAAATCTGGAAGCTTTTTGGAATTAATGAAATCTTCCTGGGGTCACAGTTATGTTAAAGTTTTACTATGTCACTTCTCTGATTAAGTATCTGTAAACATTGCATTGCAAACAGTGCCTACAATGGCTTTCTAGACTTTCAGATTTTTAAAGTTTACATAGTCCAGTCACTATACCTTATTTCACACAATTTGCTAACATAGATCCTATATGCTAATCATAAGAATTTCCTTAGTCTCATATATATTTCACGTTAATTTCTGCACGCAAATCTTTGTTTATGTGCTCTGCTTACAGTGCTCATAACCTCTTGGTTTTTCTATGACTATCAAAATTCTGTTCATACATTAAGACCAAGATCCTATCCTTTCCCCCTTATAAAATTTTCAACTACTGTGGCTTATACTGATTTTTTCTTTCTCTGAATTAGCTTTAACATGTTTAGTCTGTGCCTCCTAATTTTATATTTGCATTGTTTGTGTAGTGTTGTTCGTTTTTCTTTCTACCAGTAAATTTTTAGTTTATAGAATCCTATAGGAGAGAGCTTAGTGATGAAACATTTTTGTTTTCTTGTTTTGTGCAAAAGGAAGTGATAGCCTGGTTAAGTGAAAGGTGAGCCAAAGCTCACACAGTTAATTTTCAGTAGTATTAGGACTAGAACTAATGTCTCCTGATTTCGTTCCGGATTCTTTCTGCTCCATGATGATGCCTTTCATTTCTTTAGTTTCCCCTAAGCCAAAATCCATAGTGCTAATTACAAAGTACGCATGCCATTCATTGAAAACAGGTTGATTAATTGATTTGAAGAAACAAAATAAAAATCATTGTTTTGATGCCCCTGGCAGTAAATCAATTGATAACTTTATCATGTCTGTGGTTATTCTGTTAAAGGTAAAGCATAGGGTCTTTATTATTACCTAAAATCAGAATTAGTTTCATTTAACATATGTTTATATTTAAAGTGATTATTGAATAGATTTTTTTGCTAATGCTGTACTGCGTTATGTTTCAAACATATGAATATATTTTAAAATTCTATCCTTTTTTTGTTTGTCGTGGCAGTGTCTGCTGCAGCTAATAGTATAGGCACAGCTTTTCGGGTGTTACTCTTGAAAAATGAGATGTTTTCCATTTCATACTTATTTCTCTTCATTTCTGCTCTCTAGTTCTTTCGTCGTTTCTTTGTTTTGCTCACTCTGTGTCATCCTTCCAACACACAAAACTTGCCTCAACTTACACTACAGTAATTTAATAGAGGATATCCTATATAAAGTTACATAGATGATGTTCACACGTCTTTTCTCTTTTTACTTTCAGCATTTGGAAAAGATCTTGGATGTATTTAACATCATTTTGGCAAGACAACAAGCAGAAGTTGAGGTAAATTTGTAAATTTTTTTCAGTTACTGGAAAGTAAGACCAAGCTCTTTGAAATTAGAGGATAAAATCATATGGATTCCAGTTTATGTACCTAAAATACTTTGGCTGAGACCCTGCCTTACCCATTTTAATCTTGGGTTACTTTCTGTGAAAATAGTAGTCCTTTAAATTCTTGAATTTATTGAAGAGAAATACATTATTATAAAAGGGCAGTGGCTTTTACTGAATTCTTGCTTTTCATAATAAGAAGGAAACTTCTCTGTCAGCAGCAATTCTTAGAAACCATAGAGAGGTATAAGACTTTTGAATCCGTAATTTGGATAAATATGTTTTTGCATATGTTCTGTTGTAAAAGTATGTCCATAGGGCATTTATTTGCTTAACCATATAGGCTTCTGAAAGAACAGTATGAATTTATTTTTTTAACTACTAACTATAAGCCAGTTCATCGTATTTATTTCATAAATTCATTTTTATATAGTTTAATATAATTTTCATTTGTATAATATTCATAGATAAAGAAAGCTGGACTCAAAATTTATGGAGCATATCCTGAGGAAAATAGAGGCTGGTTTGGTTGGATGTGGAATTGGTCGGAGTCAAACAGTAATGAGCAAGCAGATGCTAAACCTGCAAGTATGTTCATTTAGTTAATTCATAGTGTCATTAATCTTTTAAAACTAAATTCTTGTAATTCTTTATTTACATTTCCATGCCAGTTTGCCTCAGAAATGTGAATTCATTCATTTTGGTGCATTTGGAATTGATTTAATGACTTGTTATATAGTTGTGGTTCATTGTCACCTTGGAAAGAAGTTTCTGGTGAAGTTATGTTAATCAGTAAATATTTATTATGGGCTTACTGTCTGCCTGCCACTGTTGTGCCCTGGGGATATAAATAGGAAAAACAGAAAAACTTCTACCTTCAATGAACTTGCAATCTAAAAGGGCAAGACTACACATAAAAGGCAAAAGGAAGTTGAGGGGAGGGGAGGAAGGGCTGGGGAAAGTATCTGGAGTATCTTTGGAGTCCCAGAGTAGAGCAGCCAGGTGAGAAATGAGGAGATGCTTTGAGCTGAGCTCCCTCCTTAAATGGAAGTTTTGGAGTTCAAGTTCTGTCCTCCAGTCAGAAGAACACAGGATGGTGATGAGCTGGAATACCTGTTGGGATCTTATAGAACGATGAGATTTTCTCAGTAAATTTCCTATAAGTTCCCCCAAGAATCAGTGCTTGGCCCTGTGCTCTTTAATACTTTTATTAATGACTTAGATAAAATTGTTTTATGAACAAATTGAATGGGAAATAATTAAGTGGTTACTCTGTCCCAAATATTATACTAAGCACTAGAGATACAAATACAAAAGTGAGACCATCTCTGCCCTCAAGGAGCTTATATTCTAATAGGCAGGAATACTCCTATAGAAGTGTGGTGGCTGGGGAAGGGAGTTATAGTCTAGAGAGTAAAAAAAAAAGATGAATAGAACAGTAGAACATTATCTGCCATGCTTCTTCCAGAGAAAATGGTTGTATTGATTCCAATATAGTTCTCAGAGCAAGAGGTGGAAATCAGGGGGGTGGGAGTCGGGGGGTGGTATAGGGAAGATGCATGAAGATGAGGCAGCTAGGTGGGGTAGCAAATTGGCCACTGAATCTTGAGTCAGAAAAAGCTGAGTTCAGATCTGGCCTTAGACACTACCTGTGTGATCCCAGATAAATAATTTCGCCACTACCTCAGTTTCCTTATCTGTAAAATGGGGATAGTAATAATAATAGTAATAATAATAATGCCTACCTCCTGTGGTTGTTGTAAGGATAAAACGGTTTTAAAGTTATTTGCAGATCTTAAAAAAACATATAAATGCTAGCTGCAGGTGTTGTTGGTTGTTGTTTCAAGGAATGAACCACGAATACAGAGACAAAAATGAAAGTTAATTAGGGGATAGTAATATGACAATTACTATCTGTTCTTAACAGTTTGCTAGGCGTTTTACAACCTATTTCCTTATTTTTTTTAAAGGCAGCAAGCAATAGCTGAACATGTTTATATGCATGATTTCTTTACATAATTTATGAATATTTTGTTTAGTTATGATAAGCTTCATTTTGTGGATGCTTAATTTCTAAAGAATTTCTTAATTGAATTTTCACTGTAATTTAGAAAATAAAATCTCAGTAACATTTTTCATACTCCATTTCATAATGAGTGGACTTTTATTCCATCTACCTTTGGTCCCTTAAACAACATTTCTTAAAGCCAGTAATTAATAATTTAATTGTTTTTATGTCTGGCATTGTATATCTTTTAAAATTCTTTGCAGGCATTATCAAAACATAAGAAATACTGCATGTTGAAAACATTTAAGAAAGGCTAAACTACAGTTAATGTAATTTTATTAATTTTTTTTTTATTTCTAATCTATAAGGTCTTGAAGAATATATGACAGCTGAAGAGAAGGCTAAACTCTATGAAGCAATTGGTTATAGTGAAACCGTGGTTGACCCAACGTTGCCCAAAACAGTATGATATCATTACATAGAAATTTGCTAAATGTTTGATGCAACCATTTCTTTTTATATCATCTTATTATTTTGTGGAATCTATTTTTTATATTTGGAAAAGTATGTAATATAAAATAAGAATGTGTGTACAAAATAGTTTATTTCATTTATCTTTAATGAATGCTTTGATATTCTTAAAAGATTTAGCATTCGTTACCATATCAGAATTGGTGATCAAAAAATAAAACAACAAAAACCAATCTGTATGGATTTGATCCTAAATTATGACACTTTAAAGCTGAGTGGATCTTACAGGTCATTAAGTCAAAGCCCCTTTTATATACAAAGAAGAAGGTTTCGCAGAAATATGTTCCCTAAAGTTTCTGAGCTAGGCACCAGTGCACTGACTTCTAGTCCTATGTTCTCAGGTAGAGAAATCCTTCCTGATTTTGGCTAGCAAGAGGCTCCCCAGCCTGCTATGGCTCATTTTGAATTCATTTATCCTTCATTGGTAGTTCAAGAAAAGCTGAGCCACAGCATTTTGGCTCTGACCCAGTGTACCTGCCTACCCCTGACAAGTTCCTTTGTGCATTGGCTCTTAGGAGAACCAGGGAAAACGACTTGGGTAGGTACATACCATATTTGAAGGGTTTTTCAGCCAGTACTGTCAAATGCTTGGCTGCTAGGTGGTACAGTGGCTTAGATTCAGAAGACTCATCTTCATGAGTTCAGATCTGTCCTCAGACACTTTTACTAGCTGTATGACCCTGGACAAGTCACTTAACCCTGTGTGCCTTAGTTTCCTCATCTGTAAAAAAAAGCTGGAGAAGAAAATAGCAAACTACTCAGTGTCTTTGCCAAGAAAACCCCCAAATGGAGTCACAAAGAATCAGACATGATTGAACAACAAATTGAATGCTTATCTTTGTAGTATAGTCATATTGTTATATAATTTATTTGTGAATATAACATTTCCCCTTGCAAAAGAGAGATTAAGAATTGCTACCTGTTTCTTCATGTCATATAGCAACTTTATAACTAGATGTATTTAAAGTATTTTAGATTCTTTGAAAAAACGGTTGTGGAAATAATAATAGGTATGTTCATTTTTTATTCAATTTTCTTTTTATGCTTCTTTACATATTCCCTAGTATGAAGCCAAAAAATTATTTCTACGCTTGGAAAGCATGCATATTTCCTTAAGGGAAAAGCAGAAAAAATCTGAGTTGGTACATATTTCCTTAGGAGAATTCAGCACATTGATCATACAACGACCGGGAGCACAAGCAATAAAGTAAGCACCCCTCTATCTCAATTTTAATCCTATTATGAGGAAAGATCACAATGTAAGAATTAGAATATGTCGGAATCTTACTTATTTTTCAGTATTTCTATAGGCATGCTACTGTTTAATGGGTTTAATACTGTTTAAAAGTTTCTTTTTAAGTATAGTTTTTATGACTTTTGTATAATTTTAAAATATGTCCAGAACTTGTTTTTGGTGTGAGAAGCGATGTGCAGTCACCAACTAGTTTTATTGTGTTTCAATCTTGTTATGGAATTTGATGATACTTCCTTTCAAAGTTGAACTTAATACGTATGATAAATGCTAGCTTTTCTAGATCACTAAGTAGGTATTGAGAAAAGTTTGAAGTTAATATAAAGTCAACATGCATTAATTAAGGACTTAGTATGTGGCAGGCATTATGCTTAGGACTGGTGATACAAAGAAAGGCAAAAATAGTCTCTGCCCTCAGGGAGATGACATTTGAATGTTGTGAGACAACACGTAAATAACTATGTATGTACAAGATGTAGACAGAATAGGTGAAAGGTAATCTAAGGGGGGAAGGCACCAGTAGTTGGGTGGACCGTGAAAGAAGGTGTAGAAGGTGAACTTTGAAGGAAGTCAGGTGAAGCAAGAAGTGAGAACATTCCAGGCATGGAGGACAGCCTGTGCAAAGGAAGGTGAGATGGAGTGAACAGCAAGGAACAGCAAATAGGATAGAATAGCCAGATGCTAGACTTTGTGAAAGGGATTTAACGTGGAGGAAGAATGGAAATAAAGGAGGAGGCCAGGTTTTAAAGAGCTTTGTGGGTCAAAAAGAGGACTTTATATTTAATCCTGTAGGTAATGGGAAGCCACTGGAGTTTGGTGAGTACTGGGGTGGCATTTTCAGGCCCATGATTTAGGAAAATCATTGTAGAGTCTTACTGGAGGATGGACTGGTATGGTGGGGTTTGAGGCAAGGAGATTGATTAAAAGACTATTATAGTAGTCTAGGCAAGGGCCTGAACCAGAGTGATGACTGTGAATGAAGAGAAGGGGAGGGATGTATCTGAGAGGTACTATAAAGGTCAAGTGCCAAGAGGATTTATCAACTAATTGGATGTATGGGGTGAGGGAGGAATCAAAAATGACACCAGGGTTGCAAACCTGGATGACTGGGAGGGTGGTGGTACCTTTGGTATTACAGGGAACTTAGGAATGGGGGAGGATTTTGTGGATACAGGTAATGGGTTCTGTTTTGGTCATATTTTGTTTGAGATGCTTATGGGACATCCAGTTCAAGATGTCAAAAAGGCAGGTGGTGGTATGGCAGTATAGCTCAGGAGAGAGATTAGAGCTACATGTACAGAGAGGGAATCATTTGCATTCAGATAATAATTGAACCCATGACAGTTCATGAGATCACCAAGTGAGATAATAAAAAGGGATAAGAGAAGAGGGCTCAGAAGAGAACTCTGAGGGATGATAACCACTTTTTGTGGTTATGACAAAAATAGAGAACCAATAAAGCAGACTGACACACATTTAAAGCTCTGCCACTTCAGACAGAAAATATTTTTCCTTGAATTTATTGATTGGGAATTATGAAATTTTAATTTAAACTATTAATTTTTGTTTCATATTTTTAATATTGAAAATGCTTATTTTGTATATAAATTTTTGTGCTGTCCTTTTTCACATAGATTTGAAAGCAAGATAGACTCATTTCATGTTACTGGTTCATCAAGTTATGACTCAAAACCTTGTCTCCTTTCTCCATTGGATGACTTTTCTTCACTTTTCAAAATTATGTTTGAGACCAACCCATTAGATGGATCTGCTGCTCAGAGATGTGTTATAGAAGCTGAGCCTTTGGAAATCATGTATGATGCAGTAAGTAAAGATCTTTCTGTCGTCATAGATTTTTCTTTGATGTCCGTGTAAAAATAAGCTTGTGTATCATGCTAGTGATAATTGTATTTTAATAGAAAACAGTGAATGGTGTAGTGGAATTCTTTCGACCCCCAAAAGAAGTTCGTTTGGCACAGTTGACAACAGCAACTTTGATGAAATTGGAAGAATTTCGTGAGAAAACAGCAACAGGTAAATGCTAACATTCACTGCTGGTGAATCAAAAGACAAAGTCATTTAACACATAAAGAAATGCTTAGTTTATTATTTTAAAGGCTATAATCTTAAATTTTCTAGATAAATTGTTGTGGAATTTGATTTGATTTATTTTTATCTTTAAATATCAATAGGGTAATAAATGTGAAGCATTTTGGTGTAGTGGAGGACAGTCCTCAGAGACAGGAATTTCTAGATTCAAGTCCTGCCTCTGACACATCCTGGTCCTGTGATCCTGGGCAAGTCATTTAATCTCTCAGTGCCTCAGTAATTTGTTTGAGAATGTAAATTGTCCAACAGTTTACTGTTCTGCCTTTGGGAATAAATATCCTTGATTGGGAGTTTCCTACATCAGTAAAATCACGAATTCCCTTCCCCCTAAAAAATGGTAGTAAATATATCCTTTTCACACTTGAAAGGATCAAAACTAAATTTGTACTATTAAATTTTCGGTTACTCTTTTAGGGGATACTAAGGCTGGTTTTTAACTTATTTCTTTTGACACCTAGTTTTGGTTTTCCTTTTCCTTCCTTTCTCACACTTTCCCTTTCTGTTTATTATCGTTTAGTCTTTTGATGTCATAATTCCTTGCTAAGTTCACCTGTATTTGTAACCTTATATTTTCCTGAATGATGTTTTTATGTCACTTTTTCTGTGCTATTTATAATTGGTAATATGTTGCAGTCAGTTTGTGCCCATCTTAATTCTTTGGATGCTATGTTATAGTAGGGGAAATGAGACATGTACCCAAATAATTCTACAAAAACTAGTTTGAATTATATACATATGATGAGTTCAACAGAGTGGCTAATTAAAGGACAGAAGCGTTACCTTTGATAATTAATGGAGGACGGTGACCTGTTGTATTCTTGGAGACTTCCATAATGACATTAATTCATTAATGTTCATTTTTGTTCAGCTCATTAATTTATCTTTTATATGATTATTCAGCCAGTTTTAAATCTTCCTAATTGTATTATGATGGTTACTACATTTGTGAAGTTGATTGTCTCTGTAGTATGTATGTTAAAATTATATATACAACTCTCAGATTTACTTAATGTATAATTGACATATCAATTAGGCCACAAATACTAATTGTGTTCTGGTTGTAATTAAAAATGACTAATTATTAAGTTTTTTATTTTAAAGGTCTATCGTATATTATTGAAACACAGAAAATTCTTGATCTCAAAATTAATATGAAGGCTTCATATATTATTATCCCCCAAAATGGATTTTATACTCCCACATCAAATATACTTCTCTTGGATCTTGGTCATCTAAAGGTATACATTTATAATATATTATAATATATATAAAGTTTTCTAAATATTATTTTGATAATTCTGAATATATTTGCTACCTCTTTGTTGTTGATGAAATGAAACCTAGCTTGTTACATGGATATTATGCTGTGGTGTATGTAATTTTTTTTTTAGAGATATAAACTGTTACCAAAATTAGCAGATGAAATCTTCTTCCTTGGTGATTTAAAATAATTTGAATTTTCATCTAGTCAGGTTGGTTCAGTACATCTCTAAATGAAGATGTACAGGATGAGCCACATAATTTGTGATGCATTTCTTGTGAAAAAGCAGATTACCTATCTCATTTTGTTACGGTCTTTTTTTCCCCACCTGTATGAATTAATATTGTTCCCAGTTATTTATTTTATGTTTGTCAAAAATGGAAGCTTTAAAGTGAAGCCATGCTTTGAACTGTTTTAAATACATCTTCATAATGTTAATTTTTAAGGTATCAAGCAGGAATCGTTCGGAGTTACCACACATTGAAAAAAATCAGTGTAATATCGAAGAGATTATGTCTAGAGCTTATGATAATTTTGATATTCAGCTTAGTAGCATACAGCTACTTTTTAGCACAGCTGGTAAGTATAACATAAATCATTGTTTTTCTCCCCCTTGTATTCTCTAAATTTGAGTCTTGGGTGTTTTATTGGAAGTTTCATCCTTTAGAATTATTTTCTTCTTTGGGTATAACAGATTCCCACAGTATGAGAACTTAGATGACTCAATAGGATTGAATATAATTCAAGGTTTTTCTTGGAGTTAGAATTTAGTTTTTCTTTTACCAAACTGTCAATTTTCAATCTAAAATAGTGGTTACACCAAAGTTAATCCAAATTTGGTTCTGGGATATGCTGTAATTATCATCGAAATTATGTCCTGATTTTGCCAGTGTTAAAATTAGTTTGCATTTCCAAAACCAAGGACACAAAGTGCAGAAACTTATGAAGTTGTAGAGAGAAATTTGTCAAAAATTTCCTGTACAAAATCAGTATATTGCTATATTTTAATACTTTTGTTAGGGGAGTTTTATGAACAACAGTTCTTAAAGCTCATTAACACTACTCATGCTAATGTTTGGGGAGATTTTGTAAAGAAAGGATGAAATCTCCTAGTGTTACATACTTATCTATGATTGTGATACTGTTCTTATATAGAGCAGATTGACTACTTTATTCACCAAAATTTCATTGATACCATAAGTGCTCTTTAAAAAAAAAAAGACAACCATTCTTTAAATGTGCTTGCATGTTGCAGGTTGGGAGCTAAATAGTGAAATTATGTAATTCAGGTTTGATTTTTTTCTAATTTGATTTTTTCTAATTTTTTCTAATTTTTCTAATTCTAATTTTTTCTGATTTGATTTTTGTAAATATGAGTCCTGAGACATGCCCTCTCTCCCTGGCCTACCTTTCCTTCTAAAATGATTTAGCTTCCTCGTCCATGATATTTACTGCTCTACTCTAATACCTCTGGCTACCTCAAGAGTGTAGGTCAGCAGGAACTTTAAGTAGCAGCAAGGGAAGAAAGAAGTAGAGAAAACAAACCTGGGGGATCACTGTGATCAAGGGAGGATGGAAATAAACAGATGCTAGTGAGAAGTGTTCCAGGATTATGCTGAAGCTTTCAGATGCTATGTATAGCAAATATACATACAGTTAATTTATTGTTTCTAGGTGATGATTGGAAAGAAGCTCGAAAACTCAAGTGTTCTCATCAGCATATCTTGAAGCCGCTGCATTTTAATGTGGAATTGTCCAAGTCCATGGTTGTCACAGATATAAGAATGCCTAAGTAGGTTTCATCTCTTGGTTATAAGGGCTTTGTTTTTTAGTAATTGGATCATTAGGAAAATATTTCGTATATTTGACTCTTTTAAAAGATGTAGAGGACTCTTTAACAAATAGATTTTAAGTATCTGGCTGAATGAATGAATTTAATTCATGTAGATTACCCTGTTTAAACAAATACCATTTTAATGTCTGGTTATATATAATGAATTTAATTGCTTGTTTTGGAAGATGACCCAATAATAACAGTGTTTTACTGTTCTTCTTAGAATATATTTTGTTATACAGCTATAATACCTGCTTGTACTAACCCAGATGGGGAACCTTTTCATGTTGTAAGGCCGCATTAATATTTAGGTGTAATCAAAGAAGGCCACATTCAAGAAACTTCAGTTAGATATACATAAAAATGTATATTACCTAACTACTATATACTTGATAATTAAAAAAAAATGAAAACTTAATTTTAAAGTTAACTAACATTTAAAAATTTTTTTTATTAATTTATTTTAATTTATCAACAATCACTTCCATAAGCTTTTAAGTTTCAAATTTTTCTCCCCCTCCCTCCCCAAGATGGCATGCAATCTAATATAGGCTATACATATACATTCCTATTAAACATGTTTTCACATTAGTGATGTTGTAAGAGAGAATTAGAACTAATAGGAGGAACCCCCTGAAAGAGGAAACAAAATACAACAGAAGAAAAAAATAGCAAATAATATGTTTTGATCTGCATTCAAACTCCATAGTTCTTTCTTTGGATGTGGGTAGCATTTTCTATCATGAGGCTTTTGGAAATGTCTTGGATCCTTGTATTGCCGAGGGGGGTTAAGTCTATCAAAGTCAGTCATCACTCAATGTGGCTGTTTCTGTGTACAGCATTCTCCTGGTTCTGCTCACTTCACTCAGCATCAAACCATACAAGTCTTTCTAGGTTTATCTGACATCTGTTCATCATTTCTTATAGCACAGTAGTATTCCATTACATTCATATATCATATTTGCAATTATGATTACAATCTGTATCTTTCTCTCCATTCTTTCCCCCCCATTTATGCTTTTCTTTCTCCTCTCTCCTTTTCCCTCCTGACTAATGTTTTGCTTTTTACCACTGCCTCCCTCAGTCCCACCTCCCTTCTATTAGCCTCCTCCTTTTTCTTTCCCTTTTTGCCTCCTACTGCCTATAGGGCATGTTAGATTTTTATGCCTAACTGATTATGTTACTCCCTTCTTGAGCCAAATCTGATGAGAGTAAGGTTCAAACAATGCTCATCTTCTTTCCCTCTGCTGGAATAGGTTTTTGTGCCTTTTCCTGTGATATAATTTACCCTTGTCTGCCTCCTCCTTTCCTTTTCTCTCAGTACATTTTCTTAGATCAGATTAATTCACTTACTTGTATCCATGTAACCCACTTGATTAGATTTTTTTCATCATTACCTCAAAGTCAATTTATATCCACCCTCTTTATGTATACCCCTTTAACGTGGTGTAACAGCAATACGATTCTCAAGAGTTGCAAGTGTCATCTTCCTTTGTGGGGATGTAAACAGTTTGCCCTTATTAATCACATGTTTCTTTCTGTCCCATTTACCTTTTTATGTCTCTCTTGAGTCTTGTATTTGAAGATCAAATTTTCTGTTGAGCTCTGGTCTTTTTATCAGGAAGGTATGGAAGTCCCCTATTTTGTTGAATATCCATCTCCTCCCCTGAAAGATCATGCTCATTTTTGCTGGGTAGTTGATCCTTGGTTGTAATCCAAGCTCCTTTGCCTTACGGAATATCATATTCCATGCCCTGTGGTCTTTTAATATAGAAGCTGCAAGGTCTTGTTTAATCCTGACTGTGGTTCCATGATACTTAAATTGTTTCTTTCTGGCTGCTAATAGTATTTTCTCTTTGACCTGGTAATTTTGGAATTTGGCTACTATATTCCTTGGTGTTTTCAATTTGGGATCTCTTTCAGGAGGTGATCGGTGGATTCTTTCTATGGCTATTTTACCCTCTGGTTCTAGGACCTCAGGGCAGTTTTCCTTTATGATTTCCTGAAAGATACTGTCCAGGCTCTTTTTTTTCATGATTTCCAGATAGACCAATAATTTTGAAATTGTCTCTCGTGGATCTGTTTTCCAGGTTAGTTGTTTTACCAATGAGGTATTTTGTGTTTTCATCTATTTTTTCATTCTTTTGTTTTTGTTTGACTGATTCTTGCTCTCTCATAGAGTCATTAGCTTCCATTTGCTCAATTCTAATTTTTAACAAATTGTTTTCTTCTATTAGATTTTGTACCTCCTTCCCCATTTGGCCAATTGTATTTTTTAGGGACTTGTTTTCTTCAGTGTACTTTTTTTCCAGTTGGCCAATTGTATTTTTTTAAGGACTTGTTTTCTACAGTTAATTTTTGTCCTTCCTCTTCCAAGCTATTGATTCTCTCTTGCATTCCTCTCATTTCTTTTCCCATTTTTTCTTCTACCTCTCTCAGTTGACTTTTAAAATCCTTCTTGAGCTCTTCTAAGAAGGCTTTTTGGGCTTCAGACCAGTTCATATTCCCTTTTGAGGTTCCAGATGTGGGTTTGTTGACAATGTTGTCCTCTTCAGAATTTCTGCCTTGATCTTCATTCTTCGCATAATAAGAATCTATTGTATGTTTCTTTTTGCTCATGATATTTGCTTATTTCCTGGCCTTTAAAGAGATTGGGCTCATTCTGGTGGGGAGTGAAGGACACTGACCCAAGCTTCTTGTGTTGGGAGCCTAGGGCCTGGTCAATGGCTTTGTATGCTGGGGCCTCCAATGTTGGCAGTTGGAAGCTGTAGGATTCTGGCAGCTTACCTGGTGTTGGGCTGGAATCAGCAACGCTAGAACTTAAGGGGTAGTATTGAGTGTAGTGTAGCTCCTGGAGATTTCCCTCTCACCCAGGCCTTTCCTTCCTTTTTCTTTCTTGAGCTCCTTTCAGGTGAATATTATAGGGTGTTTATCCATCTGGGGCCCCTTGGAGCGCTGCTTCCCTTAGTTTTGCTGAGGCACTGGGAGAGCCGGTTGCTGTAGAATGCCAAGGCACCTGGTGGTTTTCTGAGCTGGTTTCCACCAGTTCTCCCACCCTCAGTGAGGCACTCAGGGGTCCAGGTGTTGGTGTCTGCCTCCTGCACCACCTGGGCTTCAGGATCTCTTCCTGGTATGCTGAGGTGAGGCTTTCCACTAGCTTCCTGGGTTGCCTCCCATTCTGTACTGCTCCCTTTCCCCCAGGGTAAGAGGGACCTTTCCAGTTAATTCGTCAAGCTACCTGGGCTACTGGAGTGCTGTACCCCATCTTTCTTCTGGTTCAGCTGTTCCAAGGTTTTTCCTGGGGTGATATTTTCTGGGCTTTCAGGGGTTAGTAGGGGGAGGGTAAGAGAGACTCACCTCTTACGGAAGTCTCTAAAGTTAACTAACATTTTAATGACTTTGTTGTGTCTGCTTTTTGTTGGAAAGCATTTGAATATTCGGTTGCAGCATAAAGGTCCACAGTTTCAGTTGATCTTCGTGATGGATATCAGTTGTTTGTGACCTTAAGGGCATCTTGATTTGGGTTAGGTAGGAGAATGTAGATTGAGCAATAAGTGGTTGAAAATCAACAAAGCATTTTTAGACAATGTTGCTGAAGGCGTGTATATTCTACTGCATTTTTCCATATTTCAAATGGATCTTTCTTAGCATCAAACAATGACTTTAAAATGTCATCCACTGAGAGCTCAGTCAGTTCCATCTGTAATTTTTTAGGTGCCTTGGTGTTATCAACTAGGTGAGGCTGAAATGCTCATTTGAACATGATGTCATGATTCTCAAAGTCAGTGAACCTTTCATTGTATTCTCCAGTTAATAGGTCTATAACAGCTGTGTATTCTGCAAATGATTTTCATATATCATCCCCCTCATCAGTGACCTCTGCTAACTGGGGAAAATGTTCATCCAAATTTTCATTTTGAAGTATTTTGAAAAAAACATAGCTTTTTTCGAAATGCTTGGATTTTTTTTGCTACATATTGTATGTAGACTTAGTTTTACCTTGCAAAGAAATATTCAAGTTGTTTTGATTTGACATGTCAATTCCTATAGAAATCTTCTTTCAATAATTCACATTACTGATTTTGTTCTTCATAAAATTTAACCATCTATCCTCACAGAGATAAAATTTTGGCTAACACCTGTCCCTGCAATAGCAAACACTTTAGAAAGATGTGGCAAATCCACACTGAATACTTCATCATTGAACTTTAGCATGTTACGAAACTGATGATGCTTTGTTGCATTTGTCAGAATATAGTTAACAATACTTATAACTTTTTGCAAAGTGTCACTTAAAATAATAGCTTTCGCACAGAGATTTTGCTGATGCAAGATATGATGAAAAGAAATGAGAGCATCTGGATCTATTAATACTTTTATATCTGTGCAATAAACCCTTCCTGTCATGGAAGGGTGCGCTATGTGGGCATACACTCACTAAATATACCAAATTCAATCCAACTTCATGATATTTACCTTAAAAGTTGCTAAAGATATCTATTCCCCATTTTCTGTTCACAAGAATGCCCAAAGAGATAAACTATTCATAGCAAAAAAAATCTTCTGTTATGACCCAAATAAAGTCTAAAACCTACACCGAGACAGTAGTATTGGTTGATTCATCCAAAGAGATTGAATAATGTGTATTTTCCTTTTGAAGTATTGCATGAAGTTGGTCTGTTAAGTTGAAGGCCAGTTCATACTGCTGATCAATTATGGTTCTCCTTGAAAGAGGCAGTTGTTTGTACTTTGAAATGTTATCAGGATCTAAGTATCCTATGACTTCCAACAGTGTATTTTTTTTCACAATTTCTCCATCACTAAATGGCTTCCCTTTTTCCTGAGTATATAAAGTACTTTATAAGTTGCTTCAATGGCATTATTTCCAGGTCTTATTGCTGCTTGAAAGAATTGTCTTTGCTTTTGCTTTTTATCTTTTAATTTCTTCAGTACAACCTTTCATGCCTCTCCCTCTAATTTAAGATATTTGTTGTCCTTATGAGTGTTATAATGCTGATAAGCATTGAATTTCTTTTTTTTTTTTGTTTTTTTTTAAGCATTGAATTTCTTTAATGTTGATATTGCAGTATTACAAAGCAAGCAAATCATCTTATCTTTAGCAGAAACAAAGTAATATTGCAATTCCCAGTCCTCATTTAAAAATAATATTTTCTTTAGTCTTCTTTTGGTCTTCTTTGACATGATGGACTGTTAGACAGAATTAAAATATACTGTTAAACTATACAACTATTCACAAATTCCATTTCAGATAGCAACACAGTGCATGGTTGTCAAAATCTGTTGTACTCGACCCCCATAAACTCTCACCAACCAGCCTCGTGAGGTAGTGGTGCCAGTGAGGTGGGGGAAGTTATAACTAAATAATGAGTATAGCAGCTGTCAAGTTAGCTCTTATGCCTCACTAATGTTCTAATTGTGCCAGTCAATCTAGGAGGATTATTTCGTTGAAACTTACTTTATTCTTTGGTATTTTAAATATGTTCATTTTTATTTTATTTTAATTAATTAATTTATTTTTGGTGAGGCAGTTGGGGTTAAATGACTTGCCCAGAGTCACACAGCTAGTGAGTGTTATATGTCTGAGGCTGGATTTGAACTCTGGTCCTCCTGTGCTCTATCCACTGTACCACCTAATTGCTCCCAAATACGTTCATCTTAAAAATAAAATAAAAATATAAAAGGCAAACAGCATATTAATAAAAATAAAAAGATTTGTTCTGTAAAATTTGGATTCAGTCAAAAAGTTGCACTTGAGGACCTAGAAGGCTACATGTGGCCTTGAGGCTGCAGGTTCCTCACCCCTGGAATAACTCTTAATCATGTAGGACTCAAATCAAGTTTGAATTTGGATTTCTCACCTATTATATACTTAAGAATTGACAGCCAGCATCAGTTATTTCTTTGATACTATGTACTGTTTTCATCATTAATATCATCATCACTGTGATTATCATCACTATTGCCAATAGTGCTATCACCAACACATTAAAAGTCCGATTATTGTTCTCTAACAGCTAGCATTTAATTGTCCTTTTGTGACCAGTCATGTTCCATTAAGGCTGAAGTTTTTTGTCTTCCCTGTCAATGTAACTCTTTTTACTGGTCGTCTCCTATAGTCTCTTTCTTCCATACTCACCCTAAGGAGTATTTGGGTGTCTGCTTTCTTTCTCCATCTTTGATGACTTGAATGTTAGCAGAAATATTGACCTATGAGTCTTTACAATTGTTTGCCTAGAAGGAAAGAGGTAGATGAGAATAGATTTTGGATCCTTAGCTCCTGAGAATCTTGGTCTGTAGTGATGAAGTGAAGAAAGAGCTTAAACTTGAATGAATGAGGGGAAAGCTCAGGCATCCTACTTTGATTTTTGACTCAGCTTTGCCATTTCCCACCCCCAAGCCCCCAGTGCCTTAAAATAGTTAAGCTATTTATCTTTAGTCCTATTGTAATTTGAAGGACAAAGAAAAAGCTCTCCTCTTCAAAACACCCTCTTTTGCTACTAACTGAAATGTTTAAAATGAGAGACAAGCCTTTCATTCCATAACTGGAGAGAAAAGATTTAAAAATGAAAGGGAAATCTGGGAGAATTAGCACTCGGAATAACTGTGTATATGCATGTGACTAATTTCAAGGAAAAAGATGAAAAAATATGATTTTCTCTTAGTTGAGTCTTAACTTAAAATTTTTGTTTTTAATGATTTCTCATCTTTTTGGAATAGATTCAAAGTTTTTGGACATCTACCTCTACTTTCTTTGCAAGTTTCAGATCAAAAATTAAGAGAGATTTTGGAATTAGTTAAAAGCATTCCAAGGCTACAAAGTGGAACTGATGTATCTGCTCCTGCGAGAACTTCTGTGGTAAAGTATTGTTTTAAATTGTTAAAGAAATAGTGCAGTGGATATTTGAAACTTCAAGAAAATTGCCTTAGAACAAAATAATTTTACAAAATCTCAGAATTTTAGAATTGGAAGCCACCTTAACATCCACCTACTTTACTTCATGTCCAAAAAGGAATCTCTACTGCAACATGTGGTCATTAAATTTTTGCTTAAAAATCTTCACTTAGGAGTATCTACCTCCCAAGGCAGTCCATTACATTTCTGGGTAGCTCTGTTTGTTGGAAGATGTTTTATTACACTACATTTCAAACCCCTTTTTGCGGCTTCCTTCCTAATGCTCCTAATTCTATGTTCTCAACCCTTTTTGATGTATGAAAAGTTCAGAAGACATAATTTCTGGGTAATTAATAACCTGTTAGTTATAGTTAGCAAATAATTAACAAAATGATGGTCATCAGTTTTCATAAACCAAAGACGAGCTTTGAGGGCCTTTTGAGAGTTTAAATATAATTGGAAGAATGGGTATTCCTGACAGCTGGAAATCAACTCTAATTGGTTAACAGTTAATGAGAGAATGAATATTATAATGAGAGGTGAACTAAAATCTTCAACTCTTCCTGCTAAAAACATGATCTAATTGTGAAACTCGGCTGCCTCCAGCAATCTGGACAAAAGAATCCATCTTTACCCAGACTACACTGACTGGTTGTCCACTTCATAAGCTGGATTACCCTAAATACTAATGAAAGGTCCCCTGTACAGGGGCTTATTTCCTTAGGGCAAGATCTCACCTAGACTAAATTCTATTTGAAATGTACTTACCCCAAGGATTTGGGCAATCTCATTATCAGCTGTGTCCTTCAGAGACTGGCTGAATAACCTACAGAGATTGATTCTGAATGAGGAAACAGAAAGGGAAAACCTTAATCTTAATTAATAATTGATTATTAATATATGAAAAAAATAATCATTTCTTTCATTTTCACAAACCCAACCTGTCTCACTCCTGTTCTCCTGCCCCCTTCCAGGAACAAATGGAACACGTCTAATCCATCCACCATATAATAGTCCTTCAAATAGTAGAAGATAGCTGTATGTCTCCTGAGTCTTCTCTTTTTCAAGCTAAATATGCCCATTCCTTTAACTAATCTCCTTGTGGCATGGACTAAATGTTCTTCACCATCCTGATTACTCTACTTTGGATATTTATCAATGTCTTTCCTTAACTGTGGTGCCCAGAATTGAATGGGATATTCTAGATGTAGTCTGACTAAGGCATAATGCTGTGGAGCTACCCTCTTATTCCTGGAATATTCCTGCAATATTATGCCTTTCTTAATTTAGCCCAAGTTACTAAGTTCATTTTTTGGCTGCCTTAATACATTATTCTTCTATACGGAGCTTGTAGTACACTAAAACACTGAGCTCTTTTTCAGATAAACTGCTGTGTAAACCAGGCACCCTCATCTTGTACCTGTGAGGTCATTTTCTTGAACCCAAGGAAAAGGTTTTACATTTATCCCTATTTCAACTTCATGTGTATTAGATTTAACTCAATGGTCTTGTCTTTCAAAATGTTTTTAGATTCTGTTATTTCTTATTTTAGTTATCTTTCCATACTTTGTGTCATCTATAAATTAAGTATGCTACCTATGCAAATCATTGATAAAAATATTAAAGAGTACAGACTAAACACAATTCTCTGTGACACTGCACTGGAGACCTCCCCAATTGACATAGAAACATGAACTGCTACTTTTTGAATATTCTTTTCTTTAATTTTTTTTTTATCAACAACTTCAGCTCATTCAGAACTTTAGCATACTTGGCATTGTCTTATAGTAATATTCATTCATCTGTTTTACTTGTCCCTTGCTTCTGTTTTCTGTCTTATCTTTAGAGAGATGTAAGTTGATTGGTGAGTCCTCTGAACACATTTAAAATGGATACACTTGGGTGACTTTTTTAAAAAAAAAGTAATCATTCCTTAAGGGCAGTTGGGTGGTACAGTAGATAGAGCACTGAGCTTGGAATCAGGATAGCTCATCTTCGTGAATTCATATATGGTCTCAGAACATGTACTAGCTATGTCACCCTGAGCAAGTCACTTAATCCTGTTTGTCTCAGTTCCTCATCTGTAAAATGAGCTGGAGTAAGAAAGGGCAAATCACTCCAGTCTCTGCCAAGAAAACCCCAAATGAGGTCCTGAAAAGTTGGCCATGATTGAAATGACTCAGCAACAACAACAACAAAATCAGTGCTTAACTTGGAGATCTGCGTGGTTCTGTTTAGAACTACAGAACATTTTGGTGATAGTAGTACGTGAAAAATGTAGATCCATTATGAAGAAAATTCTCTTAAGCTCTTATTGACATTGGGTTTTTTTTGTACATTGTTTTTATATAGCCTCATAGCCTTTCAAGTTAATTTGAATAAAATAGCAAAGTAAAGTCCTTTTAATTTGAACTCCTCTAATACAGAATTTGTAAACAGTCAAGAGTTGGTTATTAAACTGTATGACTAAAAAGATATTTGATAATCAAATTAATAACAAGTTAGAAAGGAAAATAGTTTATTTGAGAAAGTAAACTTTTCAAGTATTTGAAATATCCATTTGGATTCAAATAATGAATTGCCATTGTCACCTAATTAAAGCTAATTTGGAAAGACCTCAACTTTGGCATCTTTTTATTAGCATATTTTAACATTTATTTTGCGTATCATGCTGAAGATCTTAATGTTCCTAAAGAAACAGAATAAGCTTTCTCATGAATATTGCAACCCATATTCGTTAATTGGATAGAAAACACAACAAGGTGAACTCTAAGATCATGTTAATTCTAAAGTTCTAGGAAATGACAATTTTTTAAAAATTAAGTTACAAATAGGCCCCTAATAACTGAATTTGTGATTTGTATTTGAAAATGGAATTTCTTTTAAACTATTTTGTCATTTAATTTTTATTAATTCAGATTAATCTCTTTTCCTATTTGTTTACATTCATTGTTTCCTTATCAAAATATTTCCACAGCATTTTTGTGTGTGTTTTTATAACTCTGTACAACTTCCTGTCTACTCAGGCTCGTGCATCTTCTTTTGGAACACCACAGATTTCACAAAGGCTGCTTCCTCTCTTGGAACTTCAGTCTCTTATTGAAGATGGTAAAGTATTTATTTAAACACTTTGTTAATTATTTATTAATTGTTTAAATTAATTAATTATTTAAAGAAGATTCTCTTAATAATGAATGTATTATCACAATAAAAATTCAGTGGATGTATTTGAAAGTAAGTTTCTCATAAGAATTGCACAGCATGAGAAAATGTGGGCTGCAGTCACCATCATTTCAGGGAATAACCACATTGTTTAGAATAAGGATATTTAGAAGATCTATCCAAAGTCCTAAAAACTTTTCTCTAGGTGTTAAAATTCTCGGGGTGCCTTTTAGTATATGGGCGGTATATTCCTTATTCTAACCATATTAAACAGCCTTCTTCCTTTTCTAGTAACATATTTCCTACATAATATCTTTTACACCACTTGTTACATAGAAGCTATCACGAATAATATACAGCAACTTATTTATATCCATCACATTATCTTTATTGCCCTATTAGTTAAGTATAATTTTCTTTTTCATAGATTATGAAATTTCATGATTTGCAGCTATATAACATAATTGGAAGAATATTTATTTTTTAAAATAAGAAATTATGTGTCAGGCAGCAGCTTGAATTCATTGGAAATACTGTGTCATTTCCCGTCCATCTTCCTCTTATTTTCTTATTTAATTCTTAGCTCAATTCATTACACATTTGCAGTGCTTGTCATATATGTGTTTATGCATGTATGCATCTATATGTTAGTGCCATTGAATTAATGCAGGTATATGCATATGCATTTGCAGTGCATGCTTATTTTATCTATATGGGTGTGAGTAGGCAGGTATGCAATATATATGTGTGTGTATGCTGGAGAGGATATGTGTGTATGTATGAGGCAGCTGGATGGGGAATGCCATTAAATTAGTCAAATATCTGTCATATGTTAAATATGTACCTAAGAAAGCGCACGCGTGTGTGTGTGTGTGTGTGTGTGTGTGTGTGTGTGTGTGTTATACACATGAGGACAGGGATTTTTGCAAATCAACAAACAACTCATTAAACACATCTTGTATTTTCTACATCACAGTATTATTAGGTCCCAACGTGTGGGTTAGGAACTCATGGGGTTTACAGAGTATTACAAGTTATACCATTCAAATATTTTCTCAATTTTGCATGTGCTTATTAAAGGTTAAACTACACTAAAACTTTTGGGACATCTATTTATACACACACACACACACACACACACACACACACACACACACACACACAAATTTAAAGGCAGTGACATTCTACTTTATTTCATAATCTGGACAGTAAGTAGTTTTCATTTATTTTTTTCCTGTGTGGATTATTGGGCTAATCTCAAGTAGTCAGGGACCTCAGTGAAAAGGTTCTTACAGTTAACATGTTATTTGTAAACAGGATTATCGGTAGGACCTCTGCCTTTTGGACTCTGAGAAGCATGTCCTCTGTGATACCACCCACAAATGCAACACTTCCATGTTTATGAACTGAAATTCCCTTATTTTATCAAAATTTATTCTCATTCTATTTCCTCATCTGTCTTGCAACCCCAAACTTTCTTCTTTGTCCATTCTGTGACCTTCATTCAATTGATATATCAGCTCTTTCCCAGGTCATCACCTCTGCACTCTCTGTGTAATTTTCTCTTCCTCATCTTGACCACCTGATGAACCATTTAAACTGCACTGTCTTCCCCATCTGCTGCCTGCACTTCAGCACACATGCTGCTGAATAAACCTGGAGAAAATCTCAAAATCATGCTGCCTGAGTCCACTGTGAATTTATGTTACATAACCTCAACTCGGTCCCCATTGCAACAAGGCAGTTCTTTTATGCCTTCTTAATAAATTCAATCGCTACTTATCACAGCAGCTATTCCAAACCTTTTCATCCTTCTTCAAATGTCTCATGGCTCCTCTTCCCTTCAACTTCTCAACTGAGAACTTTGCTTCATATTTTACTTTAAAAAAAAAAGAAAAGAAAATTGAGGCCATTTGCTGAGAGCTCCCTCTTCTCTTCTTCTCCTTCTTATCTCCCATCACCCAGATGCTTTCTGCTATTTTCTGCTCCTTCATAATTGTCTTATATAATGAGATAGCCCTTCTCCTTGCCAAGGGAAACCCTTCTTAAGGAAATACATTGCATATTTGTGCACACAAATACATGCACAAGCAGTCCCATTCTATTCCATTTTCTGCAACAGATTATTCTCTCCAACATCCTACTCTCATTCAGTGTCTCCTTTCTGCTGGCTGCTTCATTACTGCCTACAAACATTTCCTTGTTTGCCCTATCCCTTTGAAAAAACCTTCACTTGATCTATCCATTCCCCCCAGTTTTGCCTCATATCTCTTCTTGGTTCTGTGGATAAACTCCTTGAATGTGCTCCCATCTGTAGTAGGTGCCTCTACTTCTTTTCCTTTTACTTCTTAACTCTACATTCTGCCTTCCGACCTAATCATTTGACCATAACTACACTTTCCAAAGTTATTAACGATCTTTTAATTGCCAAAACTAATGGCCTCTGCTGCTTTTGATGCTAGATAATTTTTTTCTTCTAGGTTTTTTTGATACAACTGTCTCCTGATTTTCTTCCTGTCTGAATGCTTCTCATCTTCTTTGTTATTCTTTATTCAGGTTACACCTGCTGACCATGGGTGTCAAAGTGACCTTCTTAAAGTGCTCTCAAAATAATAAGTTCATTTTTTTCCACACATTGAGTGTAAGATGTCTACCAGACATGCAGGTTGAGATATAAAACAGGCAGTTGAAGATGTGTTTAGAAGTCAGCACAAAGGTTAAGATAAGTAAAATTGAGAATTGTCAACAGAAAATAACTGAAACCATAGGAGCTGATGCAATCACCAAGTGAAATGAACTTACCTTAAGCTTCCCCCTTCCCACTATCTCCCCTTCCTAACTTTCCTTATTATTTTGAGAGCACTGTTATCTTCTTGGGCCCACGATCTTAGGTATTATTCTCAACTCTTCATTCTTTCTTATCTCTCATATCCAATTTGTTGCCAAGTTCTATTGATTTTAACTTTGTACTATCTCTCACATTTATCACCTTTTATCCTCTGACATTGCCATCACCTTGATTCAGGCCATGATTACCTCATGCCTGGAATATTGCAGTACCTTCTACTTGGTCTCCCTGCCCCAAGTTTCTCTCCACCTCAGCCCTTTCTTAAAGTACAGTTCTGACCATGTTGCTTCCCTATTCAGAAAACTGTAGTGGCTCTCCATCACATTCAGGATCAAACAGAAATTCTTCTGTTTGCTATTCAAAGGCCTTTATGTTCTCATCACCCTATCCTCGCCACATGTGTAGGCGCGCGTGCGTGCAGACACTCACGCGCACACACACGCGCACACACACACACACACACACACACACACACACACACCCCTCCCAAATACTACTTCATTTATTTTGTGATTCAGTAACATTGACCTTGTTCTTGTTCCTCAAACAAGATGCTCCAACCCCCAAATTTGAACATTTGTACTGGCTGTCCCCCATGTCTCTCCCTTCTCATCTCTGTTTTCCTGATTTCCTTCAAATCCAAGCTAAAATCTCACCTTCTTCTACAGGAAGTCTTTTCTGATCCCACTTAATTCTAGTGCTTTTCCTCCATTGATTATTTCTAGTTTATTCTCTATGTATTTTGTTTGTACATAATTATTAACTTCTTGTCTCTTCTGTTGAATTATGTGAACTCTTTGAGAGCAGGGAGTCTTTTATCTTTCTTTGTATCACTACTGCTTAGGACAGTAAGTGCTTAATGAATGTTTATTGACTAACTGATATTGTAACATTTATTCTTTTCTGTTGCACTTCCATTTCTCTAACATGCTGTTTTCATCTTTGCTTATGGACATCTTTTTTAAAAGCATGTTAAAGAATCCTCAGAGAAAAAATCAGCATTATCTGAATATATTCCTTAACATTGAGATCTTTACTTCAGTCTGTGAGCCAGAGGCTAAGTTTGAGTAAACATCATTAGTACATATATGATCTTGGGTGCAATATACTTAACTTCATTTTATCCATAAAAGGAGGTTTTTGGAATAATGACTTCTAATATCTGTCCCAACTCTCTATAATACTTTAATCAAATGATACACTTTCAGGTTTACTTGAGTGTATCAAAAATGCCACTTACTTCTGAGCAACTGTACCGGTGGTATTGCTTTAAAGGCCAAATGACTTAGATGTGAGTGAACTTGTTAAGCTTCCTTGAGTGTATTTTGATATGCAACACATTCCTGAGTAGCTTTTTAACAGTGGATTGTGAGATAATATTTTGAAAAAGTTATATTGCTTAAATTGAGACTTTCATGTTGTTATTGTTTATATATGTTTTGTATTCATTCCAGAAGGTTATTTGTTGAGAAGGAATTTTAAGATCCTTTGAATACATAATTACTTTAACTCTTTAACTTATTCATTGTCCCAGCATTTAAAAATTTATTCACAGATTATAAATATTATTATAATGAAATCAGTTAAGTCTTTTTTATTAATGACACATTGTGATCTTTAGAATCAGAAGAGGAATTTTTTGATGCTCCTTGTAGTCCACTAGAAGAAACTCCTCCTCTGCCAATTACTGTTGGCAATGCTCGACAAAGAAAGGCTCAGAGACAAGAGCTTACAAACTTGATTGATTTAACAGTGAAATTTGAGATACCTGAGGTATGTATCATGGTAAAATTGAATAGATATTTAAGAAATTTAATTATAATAATTTTTATTTGTGTAACTATTTTAGTTCTGCCAGTGGAAACTGTTGTTTTCATCCAACTGCAGCTAAAATCTAAAATGAACCTCCAAGGCTTGATACTATATGAGTTGATTTATCTATCATTTTCTGCTTCTTCCCTTGGACCTTATCATTGGATCTTATCCATCATAGAGAATGAGATGGCAGACTTGGGGTGGGGGGAGGTCTGAATTTAAAAAGCTGTTTTCTGCTCTTACCTTCCCTTCCTCCAATATTTCCAACCCAATCTTTTTTTCATCTTCTAGTCTCTGGCTTAATTCCTGTGATGAGGGTCTGATTTTTTTGTTCTGAAAAATAGATAAATTTTAAAACATATTAGTCCGTATTGTAAAATTTTCCAACTGGGTCTACATAAAAAAGAGAAGAGTTGAGAAGAGAGCCTTGGAAAACCTTGTAATTGGTCTCCCTGTTTCAAATCTCCCTTACTACAATCTGTCCTCAACATTGCTGCCCATATGATTTTCCCTAAATAGAGACCATGTCATGGCCTTTCCCCCCCTTCAACTCTAATGGCTCTCTATGCCTTTGGTATAACATAGATCGTCTTCTCTTGGCCTATAAAGCCCTTAGCAACTTGCCCTCAACCTGTCTTTCTTGCCTTGTATATTGTTCCTGCCCAGTACAGTCCATCCAAATGTTCCTTCTCTGTATATTATATTTATTTGTGTACATTTAATATCACCCAAATAGAATGTAAACTCCTTGAAATTGGTATTTAAAATTCTTTTAGCACCTAGCACAGTGCCTGGTACATAGTAGGTACTTAATGAATGCTTATTTGTTAATTGCTCAAAAAGTCCTTAATAAGGTAGGTCACAGGTAAACTAACTGAAGACTAAGAAGCATCTCTGAAGGATTCTATTATCAGAATTTCCAATTTCTAGAATACTCTGGACAACCTCTTCCATCTCTCATTTCCTGGAGCCTTTATCCCTGACTCAGTCCCCATTCTTTTCATCCAGGTGTGTTACTATGCATTCTCTTTTGGAAACCTTGTCTGGTCTTGGAACCACTGCTGGTGGCTTGAAGTTATAAGGGCGAGTCCTTACTTCCACTGCCTGTCAGATGGAAACTATAGGACAGAGTCTTGTTCACATTTAAGGGGTGGGTTGAAATCTCTTCTTAAGAGTTGGACTTGGAAAAGTATTTAATCATAGACATATTCTTCCCTAAAACCTGGAAAGACTTATATGGTCTGATGCTGAGTGAAGTGAGTAGAACCAAGAGGACTTTGTTTTGTACACAATAACAGCCACGTTATCCGATGACTAATATTGTTAAACTGAACCGTTCTCAGCATTACAAGGATGTAAGACATCTCCACAGGGCTTGGGATGGAAAATGCTGTCCACGTCCAAAGAAAGAACTATGGAAGTCAAATTGCTATCACTTATTTTTACCTTCTGTTGAGTTTTGTTTCATCTTTCTGATGGTTCTTCGTATTGGTTTTAATTTTTACTTACAACTTCACTAATGTGAAAATACGTTTAATAGGAATGTAAATGTAAAGCCTATATCAGATTGTGCGCTGTCTTGGGGGGGGTGGGGGGGAAGAAGGAGGAGAAAAATTTTCAACTCAAAAGCATATGGAAGTGATTGTTGATAAATCAAAATAAATTAATGAAATTTAAAAAAAATATATTGTTCCCTGTGTTAGCTCCTGGAGGGCGGGGACTGCCTTTTGCCTTTCTTTGTATCCCCAGCACTTAGCATAGTGCCTGGTACATAGTAGCCATTTAATAAAAGTTTATTGACTTCATCTGTTAGTGAAGAATTTGGAAATTTGTGTTGTTTCTAACCATCATTATTAATGACACTGTTTCTGTGGGGGAATCCATGCCAAATTCCAAATAGTCAGCTTGTTTATGAACTTTTGGGACTTGTTAATAAATTGGATGCAGCAAGGGCCATAGATATCTGACATCTATAGAAGATGAAAATGAGCAGGTAATGAAGAGGGCTACAGAAGGCATAGCCCTTCAAGAATAATGTTAGGAAACTGAAATACTATGATAAATTTTGCTCCTAGAGAAGTGAACACACCTTTCTAGAAGTAGCTAAGTGGTAGGTTAGGTAGAGTGCTGGGTCTGGAATCTAAAAGACCCGAGTTCACATTTGGCCTGGACAAGTCGCTTAACCTTTGTATGCCTTAATTTCCTTAATTGTAAAATGGAGATAATAAAAGGGAGAGGGGAAATTAATTGGGTGAAGTGTTGCATAACTAGGCTATTTTTGCAATTTTCAGAAAAAATAAGAGAAGTGAGTCTTCGTGGAGCCCAGTGATCTTGATTTTGATTTCTGGGAAAATTATAGGATAAATTAGAAAAAGAAGTGATCATCACAAACAGTGAGTTTCAGGGATTCATTAAAAACAGGTTATGCCAGATTAACTTCATTTCCTTTTTAAAATAAATTTTATTGCTTTTTTTCATATCATTAGAATCTTTCCCAGTATCTTTTCTCTTCCCTTTTCCTAAAGAGCCATCCCATATCACAAATAATATTTTAATGAAAAAAAATAAAAAGGAATTGGAGACTAAAAATCTATAAAAGTGATGAATATATTGAAAAATAAGATAATATGTGCAGTATCCCATACCCACAGATGTCTCACTTTTTAAAAAATTAATATTTTTCCTTAATTACATATAAAACCAATTTTTAACATTTGTTTTTCAAAATTTTGAGTTCCAAATTCCCTGCTTTCCACCCCCATTAAGAAGACAAGCAATTTGATATAGATTGTACAAGTATAGTCATGCAAAACATTTCCATAGTAGTCATGTTGTGGAAGAAAATAGATTCCCGCCCACTCCCCTACCCCCCCCAAAAAAAAAGACTCAAGAAAAATAAAGTAGAAAAGTATACTTCAATCTGCATTCACACTCTATCAGTTCTTTCTCAGGAGATGGATAGTATTTTTCATCCTTTGGAATTGTCTTGGATCATTGTATTGCTGAGAATAACTGAGTCATTCATAGTTGATCATTGTACAGTATTACTGTTACTGTGTAATGTTCTTCTGGTTCTGCTTACTTCACTTTGCTTCAATTCACATAAGTCTTTCCAGGTTTGTCTGAGAGTATCCTTCTTATCATTTCTTATAGCTTGATAGTATTCTATCACAATCATATACCAGTATGTGTACAGCCATGTTCCAGTTGATGGGCATTCACTCAATTTCCACTTCTTCGCCACCTCTATAAATATTTTTTGTACGTATAGAGCCCTTTCCTTTTTGTTTTTTATCTCTTTGGAATACAGACTTAGTGGTATAACTGGAACTATGGGTATGCATGATTTTATAGTCCTTTGGACATATTTCTAAATTGCTCTCCAGAATGGTTGAATTAGTTCACAATTCCACCAACAGTGCATTAGTGTCCTAATTTTCTCCAGCATTTGTCATTTTCCTTTTCTGTCATATTAGCCAATCTGATAAGTATGGAGTGGTAGTTCAGAGTTGTTTTAATTTACAGTTCTCTAATCAGTAGTGATTTAGACCATTTTTCCATTTGATTGTAGATAACTTTAATTTCTTATGAAAACTTCCTGTTCATATTCTTTGACCATTTATCAATTAGTGAATGACTTGAATTCTTATAAATTTGACTTGGTTCTCTAGATATTTGAGAAATGAGGCCTTTATCAGAGAAACATGCTGTAAATTTTTTTTCATTTTATGATTATGGTATATTTCCCTCCATCCTATTTTTCCCCTTGTTTATCCTATTCTTTCTTTTTTCAGTCTGTCCATTGTCAAAAGTATTTTGCGTCTGACTACTGCTTTCCCCTAATCATCCCTCCCTTCATCAACCTCTCCCACCCTGGACCCCCCACCTCCACCCCGTCTTCTTCCCCTCCTACTTTCCTGTAGAATAAAATAGATTTCTGTACCCAACTGAGTGTGTATTATGTCCCTCTTTGGGCAAATTCTGATGACAATAAAATTCAAGCACTCTCTTCTACTTCTTTCATCTTCCCCTTCACTGTGAAAGCTTTTTCATGCCTTTTTTATATGAGATAATTTACTCCATTGCTACTTCTCACTTTTCCCTTCTGCCAGTGTATTCTTCTTTCTTAATTTTTTTTAAAGATAATTATCCTATCATATTCAACTCCCACCCATGCTCTCTGCCTTATCTATACTTCTTCTAACTGCCCTAATAATGAGAAAGTTCTTAGGAGTTACAAGTATCATTTTCCTCTGTAGGAAAGTAAATGGTTTAACCTTATTGAATCCCTTATGAATTCTCTTTCATGTTTACTTTTTTAGGCTTCTCTTGGGTCTTATGTTTGAAAGTCATATTTTCTGTTAAGCTCTGGTCTTTTCATTAGGGAATACTTGAAAGTCCTCTATTTCATTAAATGTCTATTTTTCCCTCTGAAGGATTATACTTAACTTTTGCTGGATAGGTGATTCTTGGTTGTAATCCCTGCTCCTTTGCCATCCAGAATATCATGTTCCAAGCCCTCTGATGTTTTAATGTAGAAGTTGCTAAATCTTGTGTTATTGTGACTGTGGCTTCACAATATTTAAATTATTTCTTTCTGGTTGCTTGTAATACTAATTTTGGCTTTCAGGTAGTCCAAATATTCTTAAATCATCTCTCCTTGATCTGTTTTCTAGATCATTTGTTTTTCCAGTGAGATAGTTGACATTTTCTTCTATTTTTCATTCATTTGATTTTATTTAATGTCTCATGGAGTCATTAACTTCCACTTGCCCAGTTCTATCTAATTTTTAAGGAATCATTTTCCTTCAGTGAGATTTTGTGCCTCCTTTTCCACTTGGCCAATTTTACTTTTTAAGGAGTTCTTTTCTTAGTGAATTTTTGCACGTCTTTTTCTACTTGGCCAATTCTGCTTTTTAAGGAGTTACTCTCCTCAGTGAATTTTTGTATTTCTTTTT